TTGAGTGGCTCCCACAAAGGAAGTATTGTGACTCTGGCCGGTCTGGTCCTGGGATGTGGCCGCTTGAACAGACGCCTGAGTACTGGCTGCAGGAAGGCACTAGGGTTTCACTCTGGTCCCGTTCTGCTCCTCAGAGGGAGTCTGACCTCCAGTGAGGACCAGGTGAGGAGGAAGCCTGCCTGGAGGTGGCAATGTGGTGACAAGCCTGACCAGCACGGGCAGAGCCCCGGAGGCTGGAACCCCCACGGGCCGGGGTCTGGTCTGTTCAAGGAGACGGGTTGCAGGTACAGTGGAAGTGCTGCCTGGGCTGCAGTAGGCAAGTTAGACAGACGCACTGCTTCCGACTATGGACATGTGTTTGGGGCCTTTGGGGAGGCCAGAGGTCCAGGATAACCTCTTTGCCCTGAGGTTGCCACATGAGCGACTTCACTTCTGTTGCTAGTCCAGGTCCCTTGCAATGGGACGAGACACGTCCACGGGTCCTGGGTTGGGCCAGGCTTCCAGGACCAATGGACCAATGTTGCTCTGCCCATCATGGAGGGGAGGGTCACACAGGTGGAGTGAACACTGTTCCTGCACCTGATCCCCCTGGTGAGCACACCAAAACGTGGATTCTGGCACAAGAGTTCCACGTAATGCTTTACCGGGGCAATTCTCGCCCTTGAGTCCACCAGTGGGTGTGTTGGACACGGGTTCTTGGATTGCAGGGTTCCCCTGCGATGAGCCTGATTCTGCCCAGGTCTGCAGTGGGCCTGAGAATCTGCATTTCCGACAAGTTCCCAGTGATGCTGGTGCTTCTGGTTCCGGGCCCCACTGTGACCATCAGGCCACCGTGTGTGGATTCCCCACATCACACCTAAGAAGGGGTCACCCACTCCCTGTTGGAAACCCCTCCAGGGCCAGGACCCATTCCGTCTTCTGGTGACTGGAACGGCCAGTGAGGGGGATGACTCGTGGTCTGGGTGTGGGCTACAGAGCCAGTCTAGCCATGGATTGGATCTCAGCCAGGTGACCTTGGCCGAGTTCCTCACCGTCTTGGGCTGCATTGTGGGGCAACGACTGTGTGATGTGGGCCCTGAAAAGTCCTCAGGAACTTCAGGTGTGTTGTCCTTGGCCCCACAGGGAGGAGAGCCTCAGAGGTAATGCATCCTTTCAAGGGTGCCCCTGTCTGCAGTGACTGTCAGCAGGGTGGTGGTCCCTGGTCACCTGGGCAGACACAGGGTGTGGACGTGCTGGGGGAGCAGAGGGGCGCTGAACCCCCTCGCCAGAGCTTGCTGAGAAGGTGGAACTTAACAGCACGGTTGCCTGGGGTGTGGGGAGCCCTCTGGCCGACACGCATGTCCTTGGCTGGGGCCGAGGTGATGTGGGTCCTGGTGCTTCTAGGTTCTTGCTGGGGGCGGTGACAAGTGAGTTTATGGAGAAGCGGCCTGATGTCAGCCATAGCCTGTGGAGATGGGGAGTGAGGTGGAGGAGGAGGGACGTGCCATAGATGCTGGGGCCTCTGCCCCCCAGAGCTCTGTGTTTGCTCAGCAAACACACAGCTTCCCAGCTAGCTGCAAGCAGGCCTTCAGCTCTCAAGCCTGGGTTTCCCAGCAGCTCGTTCCTAGAACCCACGTTCCATCGAAGACATTGCTTAACTTCTGTTTGGAAATCGCTTCTTGACAACGGAATAGGCGTTATCGAAGCATCCCGTGGGTGCCGGACACTAGCAGGTTTTCGCTTTTGGGTTTTTCTGAAAAATCTGTTTTTAAGTCGTCTGTACAGCCTACAATGTGGGGCTGGAACTCATGACTTGGAGACCACGCAGGGACCCCATCTGTGTTGAATCTTCATGGTCACCTGTCTGGTGGGTGGTACCATTCTGTCCGGGGCTCTGGGGGCTCGGGAAGGTCAGTGTGTTGCTGTGGGACACACGGGGCATCACTGGTGAGTCCGTCTGGCCTGGGCTGTGGGAGGACGCATACATCCTGCATCCTTGCTCACTCTCACAGTCGCCTATGAGTTAATTTCTTGATGCACACGTTCCAGATTCAGAAAGTGTCAAGGGAAACAGAGTCTCCTGCCAGCCTTCTCCCATGAGGAGGAGCCCTAGTGTCTACACCGCAGGCAGGGGCTGCCCTCTACTCATCCTTGAAGGGTCCCAACGATCTCCTCCTCCTTTGTTGGGGCTGCCCAGTGCCCCTGTGGGCAGTCTCAGGGGTCTTGGGTCGACCTAAGCAGACCTGCTAAGTTGAGGCAAACAGGGATGCCGCTTTGAGATGTTGCCAGTTGCCTTCCTGGGGGAGGTTGGCAGTTCCTGCTGGCACTGAGTGGGGGCCCTGAGGGCCTCGGTCTCTCCACCCCGCTGCCGGGCACACGGGTACTCCTGGGAGCTCAGCCTGAGATGCAGAAAGGCAGGAGCCACCTGGGCTCAAGCTAGGACCCCACACTTGGTAGTTGCATTCCTTGTAGGTAGTTAAGAACCTGGGGGAACCTCGGGTATCCTGTGCCCCCTGCATGTGCGTGGTCTCCTTCTGGGGGCTGCAGAGGTAACCCTTGGCTCCTCCATGGCCATTCTCTGTCCTGAACCCAAGCCCAAACAGAGTCACAGGCAGGATGCCCGTGGTCTGAGTCTGATTGGGAGGTCCTGGTGGCTCCGTTGCCACTGTCACCATGGTGATCATGGCTGTCCACACCCTCACAGGATGCTGCAAGTGTCTGGACACATAAGGAGTGTCCACCTCCACTCCCTCACACACCCTTTGAGGTGACCTTGTGGGGTAGGTTGGGCAGGTAGATGAGGAAAGGAGGTCAGAGAGGACCTCAAGGTCATGACCACAGGTAGGCAGGGATCTGGCCTGAACTATACTCCTTCCCTGTGCTCCCCACCTTCAGAGGGGTGAGGCTGTTTGAGAGCTGGCGACCCACCTGCTGGGCAGGGGGAAGCCCTTCCTCCAGGAGCTCTAGCCTGCAAAGCCCTCACAGACTTCCTTCCTTCTGGTGGTCTTTGATCTCATCCTGCCATGACATGTGATCGTGATCTTTTCGAGGAGACCTCCTAGCATCTTGAGTTCTCGTTGCATCTTATACACAATACATCACAGTGTCTTTTCTTTCCTGGCACGTCTTGGCGAGGCTGTTCTTCCTTGCAGGGAGAGAGAAGCCCCCCGTGGAGGGACAGCATCCCGGACACCCGGTGTCCTGGTTGCAGTCCCAACTCCATGTGACCTGGAGGGCCTGTTGACAATGCTTCTGTCCCAGCTGCCTCCATCTGCTTCTGTCTGCAGCTCTCTGCCTTCCCTCCAAGACAGCTTTTTAAATAGGAGGTAGTTTGCAAATGCTCTATGACCTCCCTTGCCGCCCACCCCCCCGCCCCGCCTCGTCCAGGCTCTGGGTGATTTGGCAGGCTTGCCCACTCCCCACCCGCACTTACTGATATGCTTTGTGGTTCTGGGTGATTTTCTCCACCTGCCTGAGCCTCAGTTTCCTTGTCTGTAACGAGGGAGTCATGGTACCCACTTGCATGAGGTGATTGTGGATTGAAAACATAATAAATCATTCATTCGTTTTGTAGCAAAGAGCTGGGCACAGTCTCTGCCCAGAAAGGGCGGCTTGCGCCTTAAAACCCGAAGACTCCCCAAGTCCTTGCCACTTCACGTATAGTTAATGATCCCTTGTCTTCGTTAACATGTGGACCATTTAAACTGGGGCATTAAAACGATTCCAGCTGGAAGGCCTCTCACTGAGCATGACCGCACGGTGCTCTGTCTGTAAGGGACAGTGCAGGGCTGGCTGACCCCGTCCCTTCTCGGCTCTCAGGATAACTCAGGACTCTGGCTGCTCCTAGGGACCACCTTTGCTCTGAGTCTGATTTATTCTTCTTCCTATCGCCTCCAGCCAGTCGTGGCGGGCCCCAGGGTCCTGTAGGCCGGTCCCTTTCAGCCTCACTGACGTTGGGAGTGGGCTGTTGTCCATTATTTTAATGGATCAGCCCAGCACAAGCGCCCTTCATCTTTGGCAATCTCCCCGCTCTTAATGGTATTTTGAAAATATTTGCAGAGTTAGCAGGTTCACTCAGTGGCGATTTCATGGTTTATGTTTTTTTTATACCCTACCTCGTTCCAAAAAGGAGTTAAGGCAACTCGAGTTCACCTCCTCGCCTAGGTTCTACCTGCATGCTTAATTCAAGGAAGTCTGTAGAATTAGGTGGGTTTTCTGCGGCTCATCCAGCTGGCATCTTGAGAGACGCGGGGCGGGGGGTGGTGTGCGGAGCGGCTGGATCAGAGACTAGGATCCCCTCGCATGGCCCCACCTGGCACCACCATTCCGGCCGTAATACCTCTGTTTCCTCACCTGTGAAATGGGTCACAAAACCGCTTACCTTCTGGGTTGTATATGGGTTTCAACAAGTGAGCACTCATAAACTTGTGAATTCAGTACTGTGTTCAATAGTGAACATAATAAATTACCTAGTACCTAGTTTAATACCTGGGCTTTGAGCCACAGACTGATTCTCTGATGGAGGCCCTGACGTTCCGTAGGGCTCCGGATCTACAGGTGGTGGCCAGATGCTACCTTACCAGCTCGGCTCTTGGGAACTCCAGAGCAAAATCTGTTGCTGCCTTTGAGCCTGGGTCTCATGTGACTCTGCTGTGATTTGGGGGCACATGGATTCAGACTGTGAATTACGGACCGTGAGGGCTTTCCTGCAGATAAGATTTAACTGACCTGCTCTCTCCTTATTCCTTCTTTCCTCTAGCACCAACCATGCCTCCCCAGGGAAGCCTGTTGGCTGCTCCCTTCTGAGGGGTCCCATTGGGGTGTGACTGCTGTGCAGGGTGTGGGCAGGGACTGAGTCTCCTGCCTCTGCATGTCCATTCCAAATGACTGGCTGCTCGACCTGTTTAAGCTTTCTGGGATACACTGTGTGTTCCTGGGAGGCCAGGTGGGTGGGCGGCCCTATTTGCCACGGCCTGGGGTTGCTGAGGTGTGTCTTGACTGCCTGTTGTCTCCTCTTGCAGATTCCACAACGATGGTGTTGTCAGCAGCCAGCTCAGAAGCCCAGGTACCTTTAAAATAATTTTTTAATTTACTTGATACACATTAAAACTAATATGTCTCATATTGTGTGAATTAGACAGCATATAAAGTTACAAGATTGTTTCCATGAGGTAGGACACAGACAAAATACTCAAAGGGCTTCGTTGAAAGGACATGATGAAGAGAGCAGGCAGGTGAGGACAGAGCCCACCGGTCAGTGAGGAAGCTGGCAGGCCTTGGAGGGCCTGAAGGGCGGGGGTGGGCGATGGTACCCTACCTCCCTCTCCTATTCCGCCCCCAAGCTGCTGGTGTTGCCTCCCACTGACCAGAGGGAGGGAGCAAAGGTGCTGTGGTCTGTGGATGCAGAAGGTCAGTCAGGGAGTGGGTTTGAGGGGCAAGCAGGAAAACCAGCTGGTGACCACCCCACCCACAATTCAGACCTCACCAATAGGACCAGTGCCTCCCTGTCCCATCCCTCTACCCTCCTGGAATTTGTCCTGAATTTAATGTGGATTGTTCTACTGCCTTTAAGAAAGCTTTATACAAACATGTGTTTATGTATTGAACACAGCATTATACCAAGGGTGGGGGGCTGGTCACAGGCAAAGAGGCCATATTGTCTGTCGTGGAGAATTGCAAAACGATAATAGAATCATCCCAGAGTTTTCCTGGTTTTTCTTCCTAGCACATGCTGGCAATCTTACTGCTGTCAGTGGTAAGACACCCTTCCCAGTGGCACCCTGCCTCTGTCCAGAGCTCCGTGGTGAGGCTCTCACTCCATGTCGCTTCCACAATTCGGTCTGGGAAGAAGACAGCATTGCCGCGGCTGGCAGGGTACTCTGGAGACTTTGTTTATCCCAAGCCCCTGTTACCCAGAGTCCCCACGTGAACGTGCCGTGGCCACCTGCCACCCCAGAGGAGACCTCTTAGTGGTTCTGATGCTATTTACAAGGAGCCTCGTTTGTGGGGGCCCAGTCTGCGCTCTTACGGACTAACCCCAGAGCCCCACCCCAGAAACTCCCGTAGGGGCCACTTGCTGTGCTAACCCGGATTCCTGCTATCGGCCTCCCGTGGACACGTCCTGCAGTCTCAGCCCCTTCTCTCCAAGCCCTCAGTTAGCATGTTATTCGCCCCAGCTGGCCTGTTGGGAGCCTGCCCGGTTCCCAAAACGCTGTGGGCAGGTAGGCCTGGAGGCTCTCAGACCCTGGCCGGCTGCCCAGATTGTTCCTTATGGGAAAGCAAGGGCTCTCTGCCTTTCAGTTTCCACTGTTTCCAGTGTCCGGGCTGGAACACAGAGAAGCTTTTAACAGAGCAGCTGTCAGATGGGAGTCTCCTGTTGGAGTTAACCCTTTAACTGACGTGGTGCTGGCTTAGGCCAGCTCCCAGGAGCAAGAGGGAGAGGCATGGTGGGTTGTGGTGCTGCTCCAAGATGCACTGGAGCAGGGGCTGGCCTATGGGGCCCCTCTGTCTGCCCTGGGTGGTAGAGTGGTCTCTGATGGAGAGACCAGGGCACAGCCACGCCTGGGTCGGCAGTGGCCGTGGAGTAGAGAATGGGCACGAACCTCTCCCACCATCTCCTTTCTTACCTCTACCTCTGGGCCAAGAAAGAATCAATGGGAATTTGTGTGACCTGTGGTTCTTGCCAGCCCAGTAGTCCTGATGGGGGTCCCACCTGGCCCTGGCCTTCTGCCCTCTGACTCATGACTTGGGCTTGTGATTCTTGCCCAGCTAAGCAGAGATAAGACCACCTCCAAGGGTGGACTGGGGCTTTGTAGACTGGAACTTGGCTCTGTTGGAGCCCCTCTCCCGACACTGGCCGGGGTGTGTTCTGAGGCGTTTCTGCAGGATAGAGAAGGCTGTCTTGTGCCTGTCCCCTGCCCAACACTGACTCTCCCCATGTCCTCCTTCAGCTCTGCTCAAGCCAGTCCCCTTGGGCTGCAGGTGTGGGAAACAAGAGGAGAGGCCAGAGGCCTCCCCCCTCCCTCAGGCTAGGCAGACTCAGACTCGGGGTGGAAGGTGAGGGAGTGGCTCCCTCCTGCCTTGGGCAAGGCTTAGAGCCTAGGCTGGGGACAGATGTGGGTCCCAAGTCCAGCTCTGCCAGCTGCGGTCACGTGACCCATGGCTCTGTGCCTCCATCCTCTGCCTAGAAGCCAGAGGTTAGGTCTCAGGTTAGGTTGTCCTAGAGTTAAGTAGGGCTCTGTGTAGCTGATGACACAAGAAGAGCTATGGTCATTTTGTATCATTGTCATAAAGGAGAAATGTCAAAATATGAAAGCCAGGCAGGCTAGAAGCAGCACCCCTGTGGTCGTCCTTACCCCTCTCTGCGCATGGCACATGGTTCTTCCTGTGCGAGCAGCCCTGACCCTCCTGGGACTGCAGTCCTGTGAGCAGCCCACACCAGGGGCCGACGGCCACTGGACAGACCCATGAATGGAGTGGCGGGGTCTGCAGATGCCCACCCCCGGAGAAGGCGGAGTCCCAGTGGTTAACGGTAGTCTATGAAATTAGGGTTTCCTGCCAAATAAAATTGAGAAATGGTGAGTTAAGAGGTCTATTGCAAAACTCAGATTTTCAATATGTGAATATGCTTTTAAAAGAACTAAATATGGAGATTTCAAGGATACACAAAGTAAACTGCAGCACTGTAGGCCCCATACCTGGCTGGGTACCCACAGCTCCTGGTCCCTGGGCAACTCCCTGTCCTGGGCAAGCCCCCACTCAGGTGCCATTGCTTCTTTACTTTTCTTCTTCTCCAGATTAAATTTACGTATGTTGAAATTTGGATGGAGTTTACAGTATTTTTTAAGGGAGAGGATGTCAATTTTTATGAGTTCAGGTGTCTGTACTGTATCCCATGTAGTTAACAATTCCAGCACGCTAGTCTTTCTCCTCTGATTTAAAACACACTCTTATGTCACTTTATTTATTTATTTTTTTGAAGATTTTATTTATTTATTTAACAGACAGAGATCACAGGTAGGCAGAGGCAGAGAGAGAGACGGGAGGAAGCAGGCTCCCCGCGGAGGAGAGAGCCCGATGCGGGGCTTGATCCCAGACTCTGGGATCATGACCTGAGCCCAAGGCAGAGACTTTAACCCACTGAGCCACCCAGGCGCCCCTCTTATGTCACTTTAAAAGCTAATGTTTGATTCGGTTATTGTATTTTTAAATCACGTTTATTGGAATATGCTTTATGATCAGTGAGTTCCTGTGCTCCTTCCAGCCTCAACCCTCAGCTGGGAAGCACAGACCTGCTTTTTATGGCTGTAGATTGTCTTCATCTTGCCTAGGGTTTTGTATGAATGGAAACGTGTAGTCTGGCTTTGTGGCTCTGTGTTCCATGTGTGTGTAAGGGGGTGCCTGAGTTTGGTCTTGGCAGCCTGGCATCCCACGGGAAGGATGGGTCACCTTTGTGTTCCGTGTCCCCATTGAGGACATTTGGACATCGCAGGTGTGGGCGCTTGTTTGGGACGAGTCCCGTGTGGGTGCACGTCTTTCCTCTCTCTGGGTTAGGTACTCCGGAGGGCGTTGCCCTCACTTCACGTGGTAAAAGCACGTTTGGCCCCGAGAGCCTGCTGAACTGCTGTCCACGGCGGCCGCTCGGGTTGGGAGGCGTCCTGCCCGCTCCGGATGTGTCTGGCTGCGGGGCCTCCAGCCCGGCCGCTGGCTGTCGCGCTGTCGCCGCTGGAAGCCGCGTGGTGCTCCAGCGGGGCGGCGGTCCCTCTCCTGGCTGGGTCCCTTGCGGGTGGCCCCCCACCCCCCGCTGACTCTCGGGGCCCCTGTCCTGCAGATGGTGCAGTCGCTGGGCTTTGCCATCTACCGCGCGCTAGACTGGGGCCTGGACGACAGCGAGGAGCGCGAGCTCAGCCCGCAGCTGGAGCGGCTCATCGACCTCATGGCCAACAACGACTGCGAGGACGGCGTCTGCGGGGCTGCCGACGAGGGCTACGGGGGCCCGGAGGAGGAGGAGGAGGCCGAGGGCGGGCCCCGCGCGGTGCGCACCTTCGCCCAGGCCATGCGGCTGTGCGCGGCGCGCCTGACCGACCCCCGGGGCGCGCAGACCCACTACCAGGCCGTGTGCCGGGCGCTCTTCGTGGAGACGCTGGAGCTGCGGGCCTTCCTGGCCAGGGTCCGGGAGGCCAAGGAGGTGAGCGCGCGAGGCCGTGTCGGGGAGGGGCCGAGGATTGGGGGCGGGGCCAAGGGTGTGGGCGGGGCTTCCCGGAAGCCAGGAAGGGAAGGGCGGGGCTGGGGCTGAGCAGGGCCCGACGGGACAGTGTGCCCAGGGCGAGAGTGGGAGGGAGGGATCCCAGGGGAAGAGGCGGAGGCCCCCAAGGGACCTTCCGGGCCGTCTTTCCTGCCCCGCCCCCCCACCTCCGCCGGTGTGGGTCCTTCTGTCTCTCCCACGGGAAGTGGAAGTCCTCAGCTGCAGACTCTGAACGGCCTCGCCTCACAGCTGGGCCCTGTCCTGCTGTGCGGGTTTTCCCCGGACCCTGAGCTGGATTTTGCACGGGGAGGAACTGAGGGTCAGGATCTTAACTCACCGGCTCGCAGCCACTTGGCCCCAGGACCTCTTTCCTCTTGCCTCCCAGATCCTCCTGTTTCCATGTCCTGCGAGACCTGGCTGTCCTCTCCCAGGGCTGGTTCCTTCTGGAAACAGGAACTGAAGGCGCCACTTGCTGTAATTCGGTGCACATGTGTACTCACTGCGCTTGGAGTTTTGGGGCGGTAGGAAATTCAGTGACCGTAGCCCTCCCACTCTTTTTACAGATAAACAAATAGAGGTTCTTTTGTTGTTTTTTTTTTTTTTTTTTAGATTTTTATTTATTCATTTGACAGACAGAGATCACAGGTAGGCAGAGAGGCAGGCGGAGAGAGAGGAGGAAGCAGGCTCCCCACCGAGCAGAGAGCCCGATGCGGGGCTCGATCCCAGGACCCTGAGATCATGACTTGAGCGGAAGGCAGAGGCTTTAACCCACTGAGCCACCCAGGCACCCCACAAATAGAGGTTCTGAAATGTGTCCCTTGCCCCAAGTCAGAGGAAGTCCAGGCAGAGCTGGGGTCTCCCCAGGGCTGTCCTGTCTTTTCATGGTTCCAGAATTACTAGCTGACGGTATTCCTCCAACTCTCCCATCTCCTTCCTGGAAGGAGGTGACAGACTTCCTTGAAGCAGGGGGTCTTGGCATAGGGACTCCTGCCTCCCCTCAGCAGTCAGATATGAGAAAAGGCAGACTTGGCAGAGGGCCGGGCAATTGGTTCCACCCACTCTTGCTTAAACAGCAGAGGTGTTCTTCGGAATTGACTGATACTGGTGTCTGGTTCCCCGGACCAGCTTCCCTGAACTGTGGCCCGAGTCGATTCTCAGTATTGCTCTGATGGACAGGGTCGGAGGCCCAGAACAGGACACGTCAGTGACAGTCCCTGAGCTGTCCGCCTTTATCTGTAGCCCAGCTGGTGGCCCAAGGGTAGGTCGCTCCTCTGGCCACTCCCTTCCCCCAACCCCCCAACCCCGCTCCTCCTTGGCAACTTAGAGATGTTCTTCTGATGTTCTAATGAGTGGATGGTCTTCATGCTTTTGTTTTTCTTGCTCTGAAGTCATCTGTTCTGTTGCTACCATCAATTCTTTATCCAGACAATGGAAGCTCTTTCTTTAGCAGGAGCAAACAACTCTAGACTTCCAAGTAATTGCCCCAAGAGATGTTCAGGGAATTGGTAGTGACAGGGAATGAGAAGAGGGTGTCAGTGGGACACATCTGGGCTGGCATTTTAGGAAGAAACACCCTGCTCAGGGACAGGTAGAGAAAGTCCAGGAGGGATGGGAGACCCACCCTTCATGCCCTTTGCCCACAGGAACTGCCAGATCACACACAGGTCTATTTTTAGAATCAGCCAGGTCACACACCTTGCGGTGCTCTGAGACTTGGCCGTGTTTTCTAGAGCGTCCCAAAGCAGTTTAGCAAATAGCTTCAAGTGAAAGCCAGGGTAACCGGTTCTGGCTTACTGTGTGGGGGGAGGGAGGGGAGTGAGCTGGGAGCTGTGTGCTAAGGGTTCGGTGCTTCTCCAGGGTAGGAGAGTTGGTGGGAACCAAGTGTCTGGCTGCTGCCAAGATCCAGGACAATGAAGGGAGTGAACCTAGTAGCTGCTTCCCAAATTCTCCGCAAAGAACAGTTACCGAACAATCCTTCCTGTTCTTCTTTGGCCCTTACTGTGATGTTGGCATTTTCTCTGCTTCATGAAATATGAACCTGTCTGTTTCCCAGGACTTGCTGAGTAACTTATCCTCTTATCCGTCTGTCTATCCATCCATCCAGCCAGCCAGCCAGCCATTGTTGAAGACCTAGCCTCTGCCAGTTGTGCTAGGAACCAGGAATCCTCAAGGGAGAAAACAGAAACATACCTGTGGCTCTGGCCTCATGGAGCCAGTGGTCCAGACAACACTCACAGAAACAGATTACCGAGACTCCAGTGTCCCCACTGGAGTGGGTCAAGAAGCAGCTCTGGGGGTGCCAGGAGGGGGTATTCACGTGGCCCAGACAGAGAGGCCAAGGCATTGCTGAGGGAGCGCCATGCGAGCTGGATCTGAAGGAAGCCTAGGAGCTCTTCACAGGTGACAGAGGGCAGGGTCCTCCTGCATCTGCTCTCTCGGAAGGACACGATGCCCCTCTGGGCTGTGTGGATTGGCTGAGAGAAGAAAGAGAGCCAGGATGTCCTGTGTGGGTGCTAGGTGGCTGCTCAGCTCTCACCCCTGGCCCAGGAGAAACTGCCAGAGATAGCTGATGGGCCACCAAGGGCCCCACATGGCTCCAAAGCTAATGGCTTTGTTTCTCCAGATCTTTCTGAGTCCAGAGCTTCGGCCCAAAATGCCCACTCATCCCTTTTTTAGCTGGTGGAATAGTAGCCCACGTGTTCAGGAACTGTCCCCGGATGGACAGACCGGCGGGGCCTGCAGCCCTGTGACAGCCACTCTCACCTTCTCCTGAACTAACAGATGCTGCAGAAGCTTCGGGAGGGTGAGCTGCAGGAAGGCAAGCCCCTGGCAGAGCTTGACCACCTGGGACACACCGACTGGGTAAGCTATGGCTAGCCCCCACCTGGGGTCTGTGCCAGGGCCAGGGGGAGACCTGCCGGGTCTAAGGACCATTTCTGTCTTCTTGGGGCCCAGGCCCGACTCTGGGTGCAGCTCATGAGGGAGCTCCGTCATGGAGTGAAGCTCAAGAAAGTGCAGGAGCAGGAGTTCAACCCCTTGCCCACCGAGTTCCAGCTCACCCCCTTCGAGATGCTGATGCAGGACATCCGCGCCAGGAACTACAAGCTCCGCAAGGTCATGGTGAGCTGTGGGGGACGGCAGCCTGCCCCCGAGCCTTCTGCCTGCCGGTGGCTCTGCAGCCCCTGCTCTGTGCGCTGGCTACTGAGTGGGTATTCAGATGTGCATGGACAGATGTGGCCCTGACCCATCTGGCTCCACCTGACACGGTGTAACTAGGACAGGGACACAGTGTGACTAGGGCTAGGACACAGTGTGATTACGGTGGGGACATGGTGTGACTATGGCGGGGACACGGTGTGACAAGGATGGTGACAGGGTGTGACTACGGCAGGGATATGGTGTGACTAGGGTGGGGACACGGTGTGACAAGGATGGGGACACAGTGTGACTAGGGCTGGGACACTGTGACACAGTGTGACAGGACATGGTGTGACACTGTGTCAGGGACACGGTGTGACCTCAGGGACACAATGTGACAAGGGCAGGGATACAGTGTGACTAGGGCAGGGATGTGGTGTGACGTCAGGGACACGGTGTGATGTTGGGGACATGGTATGATGTTGGAGACCTGTGACTAGGACAGGGACACGGTGTGACGTTGGGGACATGGGGTGATGTCAGGGATACGGTATGATGTTGGGGACACGGTGTGACAAGGATAGGGAGAGGGGAAGCGTGGAGGATCCTGGAGGATTGTCCCATTTATACTCACGTGGCTCGTGCTGCGTGCTGGCTTCACTCTGCAAATTCTAAATGTGCGAGTTCATTTCAGTCTTGGGACAGCTGGGTCGAAGGGGCGCCACCGACCTTCATTTCCACACAATGAACCTGAGATGTAGGGAAGGTGGTAGTGGTCATGGCAGCCATGTGCATGCCATATAGCCGGAGGGAAGGACGGCATGAGGACCAGGCCCTGCTCAGGGCTGTGAGCTCTCCCATGGCACCCAACTCCTGCGTGGGGATCAAGCCCTCAGCCTTAGCTGCCTCCCCCACAGGTCGATGGAGACATACCTCCCAGGGTGAAGAAGGATGCCCATGAACTCATCTTAGACTTCATCCGCTCCCGGCCTCCACTGAAACAGGTACGTGCTGCACGGGGCCTCCTCTTGTGGCCTTCCCTCCCCAAGGGCAGACCAGCGCCTCCCCCGAGGAGGTGCTTGGAAGGTTGAGTCTGAGATGGACCTGCCCCAGGAGCACGCAGGCCACCTCCGGTTTGCCCCTGCTGTGCCCGCTCCTGATAGGCCTGGCTGTGTCCACAGGGTTCCTCCCCGCTCTAGTGTGTCTGTGGCACAGCCCCACTGCCCTTCCTTCCTGGAACTGCCATACTCCCTCCAGGTCTCAGAGAGAAGGCTTCGCCCCTTACCCCAAAAGCAGAGGACCCTGCACGAGAAGATCCTGGAGGAGATCAAGCAGGAGCGAAGGCTGCGCCCAGTGGGGGGGCGAGCGCTGGGGTGGCCGGGGTGAGCATGGGACGTCCCCCTCCCCACTTTCGCTCCTGCCCTACTACCTCCCCACTCCATCCGCACCCCCTCACTCTGCTGTCCTACCCCACCTCCCTGCCTTCACCAGGGTTTGGCTCTCTGCCCTGCATTCTCAATGCCTGTTCGGGGGACACCAAATCCACGTCTTGCATCAACCTGTCTGTCACGGATGCTGGGAGCAACACGCAGCGCCCACGGCCCCGGGTTCTGCTCAAGGCCCCCACCTTGGCTGAGATGGAGGAGATGAATACATCTGAGGTCAGAGCCCATAGATTCCTGGAAAGAGACGAGGTGGGGAGGGGGGTAAGTGAGAAGGGCTGAGCCAAGGCAGCGTGGAGCTTTCAGCCGCGGGCGTCCACCACTCAGGGCTGAGGGCTGCACTCTTCTTTGGAGCTGGTGTCCTGCTGTGGCGCTGGGTCTGCTCTGAAAGCAAACGTGGTGGGCCTTGGGAACACTTCCCCATCTTGGTGGCTCAGACGGGTGACTGAAACAGTGGCCTTGGGCCACCTCTTCCCATGGCACAGAAAGGGCTGGAATGGACATGCTCCATCATCTTGGGGCTGGGAAGCTGAGCGCCCTCTGGCTGATGTGAAAAGCCGACGTGTTTCAATGGGACACTGAGTGCGACGTCGATGGGGATATCATGTCCCCACAGCCCTCAGAGCCCAAGGAAACCAGGGGTGGTAGTGATCCCAGTGGGCTACACCTGAGAGAGGACCAATCATCTCCAGGACCTCCCATAGGCCTCAGGAAAGGGTTTTTCTTTTGAGGTACTTGTTTCCACTGTCTAGAGGAGAGTGAGGCAGCAGCCCCCGGCCAGTCCAGGGACAGGCCGGAGATGCTGGCGGGCAGAATGGTCAGGTTGAGTGGTCAGGGCTGAGTCTGCTGTGTCCACAGGAGGAAGAGTCTCCGTGTGGGGAGGGGACACTGAAGCGGGACCGCTCTTTCTCAGAGCATGACCTGGTCCAGCTCCGGAGCGAAGTGTCCTCTAGTCTGCAGCCAGCCACTCAGCCCCAAGGAGGGCTGGAATCTTCCCGGCCCCGCGCAGGCAGCATGCACACTTGGAGGCCAAGCACCCAAGAGCAAGGCAAGTGGTGCCTCTCACCCCTTCTCCCTTGATTCTGCCCTGTGGGCATCATGTCCTGGCTTGGATCCAACTGTCCTCCCGAGCAGGCCGCACCCAGAGGGCACAGGGAGTTCATATCTGTAAGAAGGGTATTTAAAGTTCAAACCCAGATCTACCTCATTGCCTCAGGCAGGCATCCCCCACTTTTTTAACTTGAAAACCTTCTTACTAAATTAGTCATCCACGTTTTTTGTAAGACACTTTTTAAAAACTTGAAAACATTCCTATGATTCTAATACCTAGAGATAATTATTATTACTATGTTGGTATATGAATTACCATATATATGGTAATGCCATATATGCCAATATATGATATTACTATATTGGTATATGAAAAGAAATTTGGATGGATGGAGGATGGATGGACAGATGATATATAGATGGATGGATGATGGATGGATGATGGATGGATGGATGGGTGGATGGATGGATTATGGATGGATGGATGTGTGGATGGATGGATGGGTGGACGATGGATGGATGATTGAGAGATCTTTTTTTTTTTTTCTCCCGTCAATGAAAAGGTGTCTGCAATGAACCAGATGGGCCATGCAGCACACCATTTTAGAACCTGACTTATCATCACCTCCTTTTCCTGTTCCGCACAGAGGTCAGAATAATCCTTCTGGCCACACAGGGTTAGTTAGTCCCACTGTTGTGAGGGCTGTGCTTCCCCAAGTGCTGACAGGACATGGGGTTGTCTTCTCCCCCCTCCCCCACTGCTTCGACCAGACCTGGCCAGCCTGCCTTCTCTGCCCTCGAGGTTACTCGGAGCCACCCTATTGCTCTCTTGCCACTCTCACGGTGGTGCTATTTGGTAGCTGATTCACCTGCTGGAGTGAAGGGGTCCGGGCCAGGCCAATTCCATACCTCACTGTCCCCCAACTGTCCTCCAGACGTAGAGACCCTGTGGTGAACCGGCCTCTTGCCCCTTCGTCCTTTCCGCATCGAGAGCGGTGAGCGGCGTGAATGGGGGAGTCAGGCTTCCTGCGTGGCTGGTGTCACCTGCTCTCCCTGTTGGCTCATTAACAGGGATCAGATGTGAGGCCTCCCACAGGGGTCCCTTGGGCCTAGGACACCAAGGTGCCCCCAATGTGATTGATAATGTTCTCTACATGTTCTTCTGCTTGATTACTCCCCCCACGGTCCCCATGGCCAGGCCAGCTGTCTCCCTGGGTCCCTGGGCACAGCCCTGCCACACCAGTGTCTGCCAGGTTGTCCTGACGGGACTTGTGTGCTCTGAGTCCAGGTCTGTTCCCGATGAGTGTCCAGGCCCAGCCTGACCCCAGCTCCCGACCACACAGGGACCAGGGCTCAGCAGAGGACAAGCCAGAGGCTTCCGCAGCCCCAGACACCCATCACCTGTGGCTGGTGAGTGACAGAGGCATTGTCGTCCACAGTGACTGGGTGGGGGCATCCCTTGGGCCCTCCCCCTCATGTCTGCCCAGGACAAGGCCGGCAGGAGTGGGGCCCCAGGAGTGGGGCCGCTCCTTCAGCCCATGTGGCTGGGTCTGCTCTGCTGCCACCTTCTGGGCCTTCTGGGCACGGCAGCCCCCAGGCCAAACCAGGACCTTGCGAAGGGGATGGACATAAGAAGGTCTTGGTTCACTCTCTGTGAGAAGCTGGGGCCCCGGGCCCAAGGGCAGTGAGGAGGAAGACTTAGCCTCTGCCACTGCAGCGTGAGCCTCGCACCCGGGCTCCCTCAGCCTCCCTGGGGGGGACAGAGCTGACAACCCTGTGACTGGTGCTGTAATCATCCCGCCCTTCAAGTTTTGTCAAGAGGCTCAGACGAGAACAGATGTCAAAATGCTGACAGGTGCCATATAAATGTGAGGTACCATTACACTGACAGTTCTCAGCTCAGTCCCGTGTTATTTCTTGCTGCATTAAAACTTCCCCCCAAATGGAATAGTGTAAACAACAAACTTTTATTATCTCACACAGTTTCCGAGGTCAGGAATCCAGAAGCGGCCCAGCTGGGCAGGTGGGCAGATGGGCTCAGGCCTCCCCAGAGGTGGCCCTGGAATGGGGCTCCTCATGTGGCTATGGGTGGGAGGCCTTGGTGCCTCCACACGTGGCCCTCTCCCCAGGGCTCCTGGGTGTCCTCAGGACCTGGTGGCGGCCTTCCCCTAGTGCTCATGGTCTGAGAGAGACACCAAGGCAGACACCAGTGTCAGCAGTGACTGTTACTTCCACCGTAATCTGTTCATGACAGTGACTCACTAAGTACATCCTCAGCAGAGGAGAATTAAGCACCCCCCACCCCCCCACACACACACTTTTTTCCTCTTTGGGTGAGGAACGAGAACAAGTTTTTTACTTCTTCACTTCTTGCACTGGAAGTGTCCTTGATGACATCGTGACCTGGCTGTGCTCTAGTCCTTCACGGGGTTTCCCTTCTGCCCCTCCCCTTGTTCCTCCTCTTTATCAGCCTCATGAGGCTGACTTGGTGCTCGGAACACAGGCCTCCGCCAGCTTGACACACGCGGGCTCAGCACCGAGATGGGCGTGGCGCTGTTCTAAGGCCATCGTGGATGAGGGCAGTCCCAGGCCCGCCGCAAAGCAGTGCTAATGCCCATGACCCCTCCAGCAGCAGGGCCTTCCTGGGCCATAGCGGTGGGTCATGGGGGCAGCTGAGTCTTGAGTGCACATGAGCCCCCACGGAACTCACAGGGGGCTGGGAAGGAGGAAGGCTCGCTTCTTGAAGGGATGTCAAAGAACTGGGGGAAGTGTAAGTTTTTGTTTTTTTTTTCCTAAAGTGGACTCCACGCCCAGCGTGGGGCTTGAACTCACAACCCTGAGATCGAGACGTGCGCAGAGATCGAGAGTCCGACACTGAACTGATGGAGCCCCCCAGGCGCCTCAGTACATTCTTTTAATCAGTTGTTGGCGGGGGCGTGTTTTAAATGATGGCTCCCGTAAGTGTATTCTTCTTAGCACAGATCTCGAGTGCTTTCCGAGAGATTTGGCTGTCAAACATCACACAAGCTCAGCGACTGTCCGCCCTGAACACGTCTTACAGACAATCTGACACACACAGCCTGCTGGTCTCTGGTCCTGATGTGAGACTTCTTGGCCACGTGTGCTGTTTGTGTAACACGTGTGAGGCTCCCAGGGAGTTGTTCAGGCTGCTGGAAGCCAGACAACCTAATGCTTTGGGTGGGAATGAGAACATGGGCTCCCAGACTCTCCCCAGACAACTGCCCTAAAGAGGATAACCCACCTGCAATAGGAAACCAAACACAGTCACCCAGTGCCCATCTTTATGGTGCCCTCATGGGCTGGTGCCCCTCAGGATGCCTCATCTCGGCAGCTAACATTTTAAATGTGGGCTGCGCGCTGAGGGCTGTGTTACCCCCATGGAGCGGCATACAACCCCACCTCATAGGAGAGGAACTGAGACCTGGAGAGCTCGAGCTCCACCCTCCCTTCCCAGAGGGAGCCCCGAGCCAGGCACTCTCACATGGTAGGCGGCTGTGGCTGGCAGGACACACGCCGCCTCCAGACGGGCTGACTCACAGCCCTGCGGGCTGGTGAGCACTGAGCTGGGCAGCGCGCAGGGGTGCCCGGGGCCTTCCACTGCCGGCGAGGAGAGAGCTCTGTGGGGAAGGGTTCCAATAGCAGGAGAGGTGGGCCTGGGGACTCTGGCTGGCTTCGATCGGCCTTCGTGTATATTTGCAGGTGGGGGACGAGGTAGGAGGCAGGCATTTCAGGTCAGGGAGGGCTGTGAACACAGGTGGGGCTGGCTACAGGGGGTTTGGTCCTCAGTGGGCCGGGGGTGGGCTGGGTCAAAGGAGAGCTTGCTTGCCGCTGCACAACCCCATCAGAGAAGTCATGAGGAGTGTGTATGGCTCCCAGGGGTAGACGAACTGAAGAGTGGGGTGTTTTAGGAAGTTGCTGGGCATGGGTAGACTGAGGCCACGAAGATTCCAGAGTCCTCAGAGAAGAGAGGCCCTTGTGGACAGACTCTTGAAGGGCCTCGTTCCCGAAGACCTAAGCAGTACTGACCTCTTGACCCTTCTGTCCCCAGGAGTTCAGCCATCCCGTGGAGAGCCTTGCTCTGACTGTGGAGGAGGTGATGGATGTGCGCCGCGTGCTGGTGAAGGCCGAGATGGAGAGGTTCCTGCACAACAAGGAGCTCGCCAGCAGTCTGAGGAAGGGGAAGGTGAGCTAGCCTGGATCCAGCTGCTCCCGTCGGGCAGGAGCTCTGGGTCGAGGGCAGGCCAGAACCCAGGCCAGCCCAAACTCAGGGCTGCTTCCTCACTAGGCAGGACAAGCTAATTTGGGCCTTTTCTTACAGATTTGCTGCTGCTGCCGAACCAAGTTCCCGCTGTTCTCCTGGCCACCCACCTGTCTCTTTTGCAAGAGGTGAGCGTCTGTAAGCACCCTGGCAGTGATTAACATGGGAGGAGGAGGTAAGCGTCTCCAAGCCGGCCCTGACCAGTCAGACTTCCTGGGATTGTGGGGATGTTCTGTCATGCACCATGGGCTAGTGCAACTTGGAACATAATTTTTAATTTAATTTTAATAGCTAAGGGGCTCCCACCTTCAGCCACGGTGGGGTAACAGGCATTAGAACAGGCACTTTCCACCGGAAACAACCAAAAAAACCCATATAAACCAGAAAACCCAAAGAACAGGAAGCAGTGGATTTTAAGATACTGGATATCAGGTAATAGCAGGAAACAGAGTGAGCCCTATGACTGCCTCAGCGGCCTGGAGTTTCTAGGTCAAGGCCTAGAGAGATCAAGGCAGCTGAAGGTCTCGGAATGTACTTCCCACAGGAAGAGAGCAGTCTGCAGGGTGAGATCCCCCCAGAGTAGTCAGCAGGGTTCTAATCAGCACACACAAGCAAGGCAATGACTGAAGGCTGGGGAAGAAGCTCCCTGAAGCAGGGACTGGCAGGCTCCAAGTCTGGCCCACTACCTGTTTTGTAAATAAAACTTTATTGGAACAAAGCCACATCCTTTGTTTCTTCATTATTCATTTAGCCACACCTAAAATGTTTATTATCTGACCCCTTACAGAAGAAGTGTTTTGACCCTGTGCTAAAGCTTTAAGGCATAGTGTCTGTTCCCACCAACCATGGTGGAAGTGCTGGAGGTCATGAGCCGGGAAGTCGGACATAGAGGAAGGTCTTGTCCCACAAGTGGGGAATAAGTACCCCCAGGCCGAGCATTGTTCCAGACCTAAAATTTAAAAAAAGCAAGACCTAAAAGGACCAAACCATACCCAAGTATTTTAAATGCTTCCCAGAACAAAGCTCAAGAATAGGAATAAAAAAAACCCAGCACCCAGCAAGATAAAATGTCTAGCATCTAATCAAAGATATTAGCCACGTCAAGAAGCAGGAAAGCATGACCCTTGACAGAAGAATCCATCAAAATCACCCAGAACTGACAGAGACATTAGAATCAGTAGATAAGTACATTAAAAGTTTTGAACTGTATTTCATATGTTCAAAAAGTTACAGGAATGAAAGATCTGAAGAAGACTCAAAGTCCCAGACATAAAAACCAGAATGTTTGGGTGAATGTTCAGAATTACACCAGATAAAATTAACGGCAGATTGAACATTCAGAAGAATGTATAGAAGAAAAAATTAGTGAACTCAAAGAGAAAGCAATACAAACTGTCTAAAATGAAAACACTGTGGGGGCGCCTGGGTGGCTCAGTGGTTAAGCCTCTGCCTTCAGTTCAGGTCATGATCCCAGGGTCCTGGGATTGAGCCCCACATTGGGCTCCCTGCTCAGTGGGGAGCCTGCTCCCCCCTCTTGCTCTGCCTACTTGTGATCTCTCTCTCTCTCTCTCTGTGAAATAAATAAATAAAATATTTAAAAAAAGAAAACTTTAAACAATAAAGTGAAATGCTGTGAGAAAAAATAATTTAAAAAACGAAAATGGTGCCAGTGAGCGGTGGGTTAAGAAGTCTAATATAGACGTAATTAAAGTCCCCAAAGGAAAAGGGGGGAGGAGGACAGAAAAAGCATTTGAAGAAATAATAGCTAAAAAGATTTTTAAATTTGATGATAAATAAAAACTCATAAGAAACTCAACCCCAAGCACAAGGAACATGAAAAAATTACACCAACCCACATATTAACCAAAGTGATCAAAACTGTAATAAAGAGAAGATTTTGTTTATTTATTTTAGAGAGAGAGCAGGGGAGCAGAGGGAGAGGGACAAGCAGACTCCATGCTAAGTGTGGAACCTGATGTGGGCTAAGGCAAAATCAAGGGTCAGGTGCTTAACCAGCTGAGCCGCCCGGTGCCCCAAGAGAAATTCTTGAAACCAGGCGGCAGGTAAAGATATGCCGAGAGCACAGACAAGGTGGTGGCAGGCTTCTTGGAAACAGTGTGAGCAAGAGGACAGTAAAAGAGCATTTTTGAAGGACTGAAAAACTGCCCATCTAGAATCCTATACCCAGCAACAGTATGCTTTAAAAACAAAGACAAAAAGTAGAAACATCTCCAGAAATACAAAAACTAAGAGTTCTTCAGCAGTAGACTGCACTAAAGTGAATGTTCAGTGAGGTCCTTCACCTGATGGAGTCTCAATCTACACGGGGATGGGAAGCACAGTAGCCGCCAGTAAGCGAGCACAGACTTCTTTCTCACAACACTCCACAAGATGAATCGAGATCCAGCACCCAATGGGGGGAAATGCAGTGTCCGCTGCCCACTCAGTAATTACCAGGCAGCCCCCAAATTAACAGCAGCATCTCACAGGATTCATAACATCTCTGAGTAAAAAGTATCGTCACAATGGCATTAAGGCCAAGGAGGAGATCAGAAGTATGCTGATGGAAGTTCTTTATAATCTGTGTGAAGTGCTAAACTACGATGATGTATTAATTATTAATTTCAATGTAGATCACAAAGAACATTAGCAGAGATTAAAGGCATTCCCGTCATAATGGTAAGGGGGGAGAAATAACTATCCTGAACACTTGACCTACCTAACAACAGAGGTCAAAAATACGTGGAGTAAAAATCTGAGCAAGTTGCAAGGAAACATTGATAAGTCCCTCGAGGTTCAAGAGCCTTCTCTCAACAACTGACACGACGCGCAGACAGGAGGGTACGACATAGGCCACAGAAGACTTGAACGCTACCAACCGACTTGATTCGACATTCACGGCACACACACCTGAGCCCAGCAGAGTGTACTTCTCAGGTGCACACGGAATGGTTCCCGAACAGACCATATTCTGGGGCATAGAACAATTCTCACAAATGTAGGGCCCAAGGAAAGTAAGTTCCCTGACCGCAGCAAAGTAAAGTAAAATTAACCCAGAGGTTTCTAGATGGCAAACCAACTATAAAACATACAGGCAGTCTGTCTTTGGCTCAGGTCATGATCCCAAGACCCTGGGATGGAGCCCAGCGGTCCCTCTCCCTCTGCCCCTCCACCAACTGGCACGTGTGTGCACTCTCTCTCCCTCAAGAAAAGAAATAAAATTTAAAATGAAACAAAACAATAAGTCCACGCAAGACGACACCATCTGTTCTTTCAAAAAATGAATTTGGACAATTTGTCCCCTGATGTAACTTTGTAGATACTATGCATAATACCCCATTTCTTTTATTTTTATTTTACGTTTAAATGTGTATCTTTGTCAATCACACTTTGATCTGGAGAAGGGAAACCAGTCAGCAAGGACCCTCTGAGGACGGGCTTTACGGGATAGGACTCCTGGGTCTCTATCACAGTCGTCTCTCTGTCAGGTTTTTTTTCCAAGAAGGCATTCATTCTCGAAATCAGGAATGGGGAATAACAAGATGTCCGTCACAGCTCGAAACTGAGCCACTCACCCGGGGGGAGTGCCTCGGAGGGCTTGTGGTGGGGAGTGTCGGGCACGTGAGAAAACCCAGACCAAACTGTCCAGAGTGTGTCAGGGACACATATTTTGGATGTACAGCTAATTAAAGAGAAAAGCAAGATTTGGGGATAAACTAAGTGAAATACTGAACAAATGGGGGTCGAGCAGGGGAGGGCAGTTGACGGTGGGAACGGTTTCTCTGTGGCCTCTTCACAGCTGACGCCCCTTCCTTCCCTTCCAGGGCTGTCTGTGCTTCCTGCAGCGTTAAGGTGAGCAGCATCCGGGGTCTGAGCAGGTGCGCGACGTGACGTGTCCTGCGACTGACGTGGCTTGTCAAGAGTGGCAGAACTGGGGGGGGAGGGGCGCACCCTTTCTCTTTCTCCAAGAGGAGGTAGAACCAGGAGTGCCGTCTCCCGTGAGCAGGTCACACATGGACCAGCCCTACCTTGTTCATCTCCTTCCTCCACACAGAACCCACTCCTAACATTTCCCCAAACTATGCAGTTTTTATTATTATTTTTAGAGTGGGGGAGGGGCAGAGGGAGAAGCAGACTCCCTGCTGAGCACAGAGAAAGGGGCGGGACTCTATCTCATGACCCGATTCAAAATCAAGGGTCAGACCCTTAACTGACTGAGCCACCCAGGCGCCCCAAGACTGTGTAGTTTTTAAAGACTTGTAAGTGGTCTTTTAAAAAATGTTCTTTAACATTCCACGTTAGCAGGCTAGTGCCAGGAAAAACCCTTCACTTCCCCTGTGAAAGTCCTAATTTCTGACACTACAGCCTCCTTGAACATTTCCAGACAGGCTCCGCACAGCACTCGGGGGCATCTGTACCTGCAGACGGACAGGCACAGAAGGTTCATCACACTTAGAACCATGTTGTCCTGGTTCACCTCAGCCTAGAAACCAGGAGTGCTGGAAAGGGGTTTTCCCACCACGATTTCCAAACCCTCTGTGTCCTGCCATTTCACTGCGGGAAAGCTCCGCCTCAGCACGTGCACCAGGTCACGGGTGGTACAAGCGTCCGTCTACATGGGCACACATGGTTGGCGTGGGTACCAAGCAAGGGCGCCCACGCCTGCAGATGGCAGCATGGAGTGGAGCAAAGAATGGCCTCTCGACACCCCCAGGGTGTCACATGGGCCCAGAGCAGGTGTGTGGGTGCCTGGTTCATATCTCCCTGTGTGTGTTGTAGATGAAGATGCCTTCTAAGAAGTTTGCACACATTCCCGTCTACACGCTGGGCTTTGAGAGTCCTCGGAGGGTGTCAACCACCTACACTACACCAACCCAGAGAACAGAGGCCTTCCAGTGAGTCCCCATCTCAGTCCCCACATCCCCGTCTGGGGTGTGGACTGAGAACTCCGGAGCCACAGTGATGGGCACAGTCTCCGAGGGCAGAAGCTGGGCTCTTGCTCTTTGCTGATGTCACTGGGGTCGCAGGCACTGATAGTAACACAGGAGCTGGGTGCGGGGGTGGTTTGCGAGGACACTCCCAGGACGTGGAAATCCAAGGTAGTCGTCCAGGAAGAGCGGTCTCAGATGGGTCTGGGGGCTGAGTGGGAGGAGCTGGAAACTGAAGTGGTGAGCAGATCCCAGGCCTCCCACTAACTCTCGAGGGAAGGCTTTTGCTGGGGGGAGGGGACGGGGTGGGCTGTGGATATGGAGAGACAGGAGGGGACGTCCCTGACGGCTCTGTCCTGCTCCAGATCCCTGCAGGGGCCCCAGTGGCAGAGTGTGGAGGAGGCATTCCCGCACATCTACACCCATGGCTGTGTCCTCAAGGACGTCTGCAGCGACTGCACCAGCTTCGTGACGGACGTGGTTCGCTCCAGCCGCAGGAGTGTGGATGCGCTCAACGCCACGCCTCGCCGTACCCGCCAAACCCAGTCTCTCTACATCCCCAACACCTGGACTCTCAACTTCAAGTGATGGCTCTCGACCTCCTGGGCCACTAGCCAGAGGCTCTTCAAGGCAGCCAGGCCTCTGGGGAGGAGCCAGGCTAGTCCTGCCCTGGCTGAGAAGCTCCCTGTCCTGGGGCACAGCTGCCCTCCCAAGTGTGCATGTACATATATACATATATAGATACATTTATATAATACACACACAGCCTATATATTTCTAGACATGTTTCCTGGCCCCAGAGTTTATTTGGGGTCAGGCTCACTCCAGGACCCTCCCTGGGGGAGGCTGTTTCCTTTGGGAGTTGTTGGGAGTTGCTGGGGTTCGGGGACAGGACATGAGTGGGTTTTCTCACTCAGGAAAAAGGGCAGGTTGGAGATACAGCAGTGGGCTCCAGGCGCCAGAGCTCTGAGAAGACCCTCATCCCGGTGTTTGTTCTCTTCTCCATCCCAAGGATGAGAACACAGCAGTTTACTCTCCCTGGGTGGATGTCCAGGCTGGGACGACGGGATGCTTTGGTCCCCAGGTAGACAGGGGCACTCTGAGTGGAACCTGGCCTGCGGAGGCAGCTGGAAAGATCAGGAGTGGGCAGCCTGCTAGCAGCATCCTAGCCTTCCAGTTGGAAGGTCCAAGGCCAGGCTCACTCCTTGACCCCTGGCCAGCACCCAGGCCCCAGCCATCCTCCCAGACTCAGAGGTGCAGAGATGGTGCTGGTTCCAGGGCCCCAGTGATGCTGGTGATCCTGGTACGGGGAGGAAGTCTGTAAATGTGTACACAGAGCTGCTCTTGGCCTAATAAAGGCGGTCTCACAGTCTTCCGTCTGGGGTGTGGACTGAGAACTCCGGAGCCACAGTGGTGGGCACAGTCTCCGAGGGCAGAAGCTGGGCTCTTGGGGGCCACCTGCTCTCTGGTGTCCATTCAGGATGCCCACCACGAGACGAGGCTGCTCACACCCACTCCTGTCCATGAGGCCCAACTTCCCGATCTGGCCATCCCAGTCCCATAGCCAGCAGGGCTGCTGCATGTGGCTCAGCCTGGAGCCTGTCAACTGCCAGCCTCATCCCCAGATCCCCGCTCCTGTTCTCCATGCAGATGACCCCCTTGGGGTTTGCGGGGGAGGGGGCAGCTCCCGATGCTCTTCAGGAGAATGGCTGAAGCTCCTGTGTGCTCAGCCGGCCACATGCATCTGGGAGGTGGCTTGTCATCCCACCTTACAGGAAAGGAAACTGAGGCTCAAGAGGGAAGGAATTTGGCCAAAGAAACAGCTCATCTGCGACCTCAACCCAGGCCTATGAGATGCCAGGCTCTAGCTGCCTGGCTCTAGCTATTTGCCACGTGTACAGGGGCCCAGAGGAGGCCCTGAGGGACAGGACTTGTTATAGAGGGACCTGCCGGAGAGGTAGCTCATCAGGAGGTTACACTAAATTGCAACAGTCCATTAAAAACAGCCAGCTTCCAACACCTCTGGGCACTTCCTGGGCAGGGAGTATTATTATTTCCATTTAAAGAAGAGAAAGCAGGGGCACCTGGGTGGCTCAGTGGCTTAGGGGCTCTGCCTTCGGCTCAGGTCATGATCCCAGGGTCCTGGGATTGAGCCCCGCATCGGGCTCTCTGCTCGGCGGGGATCCTGCTTTCCCTTCTCTCTCTCTGGCTGCCTCTCTGCCTACTTGTGATCTCTATCAAATAAATAAATAAAAATATTTTTTTTTTTAAAATGAGAAAGCAAAGGGGTTCCTGGGCAGCTCAGTTGGTTAAGCGTCCAGCCCTTGATTTCCGTTCAGGTCATGATCTCAGGGTTGTGAGACTGAGCCCCTCATTGGTCTTCCCCCTGGGCATGGAGCCTTCTCCCTCTCTTTAAAAAAAAAAAAAGAATGAGGAAGCAGACACAGAGAGGGTGAAGATTTGCTCCTGGTCACACAGCCAGCAATGGGAAAGCTAACCTTTGTGCAGCAACCTCCATCGATAGATGCTCCTGGGAGGTGAGCTCTGCTGTCACTGTTTTAATTACACAGGCGAGGAAGTGGGCCAGGCAATAGGTTCAGGCCCACATTCCCAAGAACGGGAAACCAAGGTTCTACTCCACATGGGAATGCTTGGAAATAAAAGTAAAAACCCATGTTGGGACATCTGGGCTGAGCCACAGGGGGCCACATAACCCTTGAAGGTGAAGTTGGGAGGGTGCTGCCCCATTCTTGCAGGCTCCCCTCCTGCTGACCCCAGGGACTGAAAGCCGTGCACTCACCCCACTGAACCCAACCCTCACCTGATTTGGATTGTGACAAATGGAGCTCACTTTGTCTAGAACTGTCTACAAGCAAACTTCTGAGGGCCATGCCTTCGGTGGGGACAGGGAGATTGACGCTCTCCACTCAGGCTGGGCTGATGCTGCATCTCTCAGGCGCACATGGCTGCTCTCCTGTGATAGGGCAAAGGAGGCAGCAGCTCCAGGCTGAGAATCCCTAAGTCTTCATCCAAAGGGGAGGCAAGAAACCTGCATAAATTGTTCACGCCACTTTGGGAGGGGGTCGGGGGAGACACAAAATCTACTTAATTAGGCTGGCCTTGGCCAATCCGAATGGATGAGAGTGGTGTCCTGGAGGCTCTCCCTGAGCTAGCCCTTTAACAGCAGGATTACAGGAAGTAGGGAGGGTAAAACCTAAGGGACTCCCAGGGAGTTCCTGGAGCAGGTGGCACATCTGGGGAGCTAGAGACAGCAGCCATGTCAGCCAATGTGAAGCACCACAAGACCCTCTGGCCTGCGCAGGCTGACAGCCTCGTGTGCCTGTGTGCGCACACCCTCTCCCTCCGTGAGTCTCCGGAGACCCAGTGCCCAGTCTGAGAGGAACATTCAGGCTTAAGAGGAAGGCAGGATGGGGTGGACCTCAAGGGTCAAGGAAGACGGATCCCAGAGGCCATGACCCATCCTGTCCCCATCTCCCTTTCTTGGTCCTTGCCAGTGGCCTTCCTCATTTGAACCCTGGAACCAGTGCTCGCCTGGGCAGCACATATACTGAACCCTGGAACCACAGTCCTGCATGCAAACCCAGCTTCTACCTGGGCCAGTTACTCTCAATCCCAGTTTCTTTACTTGAAATGGCGGGGACAGCTACTCCCAGGAGGTAAGAATTTAGTACAGTGCCATCACCACACTCAAGGCTGCTGTCTCCACTCTTCTAACACCCTCACACCAGAGCCTCTTGCTCCTGCACTTAGACCTCTGCAGTGCGGGGGTTCTCGGTCTTGCCGGCACACTTTAATCCCCTAAGAGCTTCTAAAAACTATCAATGCCTGACCCCACCTCATAATTGCTAGGAATGCGCCCTTGATCTTTATTGCAAAAATCTCCCCAGGAGATTAAGACACAGTAAAAGTAGCGAGCCTCCACCTTAGACCACGGATTCCCAGATGTAGACGAACAGGAGAATCACCGGGGACGCATTTACGCCAACAAAAGGCAAACTCCCAGGACAGCCCCCGAGATTCGCTTTCAGTCTATCCGGGGGAGGAAGCGGTGCGGAGATCTGCACCTCTGGGAAGCTCCTCGGTTCTCACGTGTTTACTTTTAACGAGAAGGGCGCTGTCCCGCCTGCAGCCGCGGACGCTGACCGAGGGCAGTCGCTCCCCCTCCAGGTCGCCCGGCTGTTAGTCCCCGGTGCACCCGCACAGGTGCAACGCCACGAGGCCGCGCGCCCACCTGCGCGCACGGCCTCCGCGTCCACCCCGCCTGCAGGTTCTTCCCGCCCGGCCAGCCCGTATTCGCAGGGCAGAGGGTGGGCTCGCGAGTGGACCGCTCGGAGCCAGGGCAGCCCCTGCCCCCGCTCGGCGGCGGTAGCGGACACGCCTCCGGAAGGCCCGGAGACGCCCAGCGCCGGTACCGCCAGAGGGACCGCCGCGCGGAGGCGCCCAAGTCGCGCGAGAACTGGCCCGGCCGCGCCCGCACCTTCTTTGACGCCCTGTCAACCGAGAGGAAGTTCCGGAGAAGCTCAGGGCGCAGACGCGATACGCCAGCCTCACGCCAGCCTCGCGCCAGCCTCGCGCCAGCGTGCCGTAAGTGCGCAGGCGCGCCGGCCGCTCTCTTTTCTGCTCTTCCTTCTCCCAGTCTCCAGACGTCAGCGGCCGTTGGGTCCTATGTCGCGCCGGGCCCTCCGGAGGCTGAGGGGGGAACAGCGCGGCCAGGAGCCCCTTGGGCCCGGCGCCCTGCAGTTTGTCCTCCACGATGACGATGATGCGGAAGAAGAAGGTCCAAAGCGGGGTCCAGGCGGCCGACGCCCCCGGGGCGCAGGGAAGGAGGGCGTCTGTGTCAACAACCGGTTCGAGCTGGTGAGGAACGGGGCTGCCCGGGGTGGGGGCGGTGGGAGGGAGGCAGTGGGAGGGGCGGGCCCGTGACGTCACGGGGCGGGGCGCTACGTGGTCTGGGCTGCCGCGGGGGCGGTGGTGGGCGTGGCTACGTCGGGCTCGGGTGCGGCGAGGAGGGCCGTGGCGGTCCGGGCTGCGGCGGAGGGGGCGTGGTCGTGACGTCGGGGCGGGTGCGCAGCCCGGCGGGCGGGGCTTCACGTCTCCGACCCTGGGGTCTCTTGGCTCGGTCGCAGGGTTGGGCGTTGCCTACGCCAGGCGCTCGCAGGGGCGCCGCGCAGCCTTGTGTCCTCCTCCCAGCCCAGGACTTGGTGTTTGGCTCATCGCTGGGTCCCCCGCAGCAGGTGTCTGGCCCAGCACCAACGCGGTGGACGCGAGTTGAAGGGGTGCGCGCCCCGCGGGGTTTCTGCAGCTGGCCGCAGTCAGTCCTTCGCTTGTGCGCGCCCCGCGTTGCGCTCGCTTCTCCGACCGCCCTGTGCGGGCAGCCAGCGTGTCTGTGTTGCTCAGCTTGGACCCCTCCTCGCTGTGCCCGAGCGCTCGAACAGCCGGCGGTGGGTCTGCAGATGACGGAGACCAGGGACCTTTGTCAGCGCTTTCTTGGGCCGCGCTTGCTCCCGTCGGTAGATGGTGGGGAGCGGGGGCTGCCCGTCCGGGAGCTGGGGAGCTGGGCGTCCAGAGTGCTGACCTTCCCTCGGAAGGCGAGAGACGGTGCAGGTGGGGCCGGGTCCTGTCTTCAGATCCTCCATAGTCGTCTCCACCTGTTCTGCTTCTGCGACTGGACGTCTCTCCCTCCCCTCCACCCTGCTTCTTTTTTTTTTTTTTTTTTTTTTTTTAAGATTTTATTTATGTATTTGACAGACAGAGATCACAAGTAGATGGAGAGGCAGGCAGAGAGAGAGAGAGAGGGAAGCAGGCTCCCCGCTGAGCAGAGAGCCCGATGCGGGACTCGATCCCAGGACCCTGAGATCATGACCCGAGCCGAAGGCAGCGGCTTAACCCACTGAGCCACCCAGGCGCCCCCACCCTGCTTCTTGTCTTTCCTTCTTTCCTTTCTTTCTTTGTGACATTTTTATTATAAACCATCTCAAACACGTACAGAAGCAAGAGTGGTATTAACCTGCGTGTGCTTATCCCCCAGCTCCCGCAGTTGGACTCGCAGCAGTCTGTCTCCCCAATATTCCTGTCCCATCATGTGCCCTTAACTTTGCCAGTCATTTTTCTGACTTCTTCCAGAACACCCAAGTCTTCTTTCCCACCTCACTTGTGCACAGGGTGATACCAGCTTGTGCTGTCGTCGGCCATCTCCGTGGACGTTTGACCCCCTTGTGCTTCCTGGTTCCCATATTCCCCAGATTCAGTCTTTAACACCAGTAGCTTTTGTTTGGAGGACATTTACACATTCCAGGCACTGCTGCTGTGTCATGGGATTCTGGTAGTCTGGGAAGGTGGTCCTAGTGTCCCCTTGTGCAAACAAGGTAGTAAGTGACACCTGCAGAGTAAATCTAGGCTTCCTGCTTAAAACCTGTACTCTAAACCCTGTCATGGTATTTGTCTCTGAAGCAAGTTAATGTTCTGCTGAAGAAGAAAGGAGGATAGATGGACAGAGGGCAGAGTGTTTGGGAGAAATGGAAAAAGTGGCAGGAGCTTACTTGCGAAAGGAGAGGAGGAACATTGATGTGGACCTCACTGTGAGATCCTGTCACAGGGACCCAAGGGCTGTACCTCTGCTCAGGGCTCTGCTGTCTGTGTTTTCCCTTCTTCTTTCTGATGTTGATATCATCGGCTCAGATGTCCTTCCCTGTCTTGGGATTCATGTATACAGCGCAACATCTGTCTCCTCTTAGACCTTTCACAGACATCTCAAACCCAGTGTGTCCAATGCTCACTGCCCTTCCTGCCTCCTCCAGGCTTCCCAGTCTCTGTGGAGGGCATCTCCACGTTTCCTCTTGTCCACGCCAGCAACGTGAGGGCATCCCTGAGCTGCTTTCTCTCTCACACGATACACTCAGACCACTGGTGCAGCACCTGGGGGTGACCATTGCCTGTGGCCTGGATCGTCACCATCCTTGTGCCCAGTCCTGGTTCTGCTCTTCTTCCTTTGCAGTCTCTGAACACAGAGGCCAGCCATAGTGACCCTGTTAAGCACATGTCTGACCTCAGCCCTCCTTTTTTCACAACCCCCTAGTGGTTCCAGGCTGGCCCAGTTCGCCCCATAAGCTCTCCTACCTGTTTTCTTTATAATCTTGTTCGCTGTGCTCTAGCCATAGTGATCTGTCCCCTTTGCTCTCTCCTCTGCCTTTAGCATCTTGTATGCAGGTGACACATGGCTCACTCCTCCCTCAGGTTTTGGTCAGATGTTGCTTCCTCAGGCTTGCCTACCCCTCCTACTTGCTTTTAAAGTACACTTACCCAGGGCGCCTGGGTGGCTGCCGAGTTGTGGATCTTGATCTCAGGGTTGTGAGATCAAGCCCCACACCCTCAGACAACCTGCTCTGCAGGGAGTCAGCTTGAGGATTTTCTCTCTCTCTCTGCCCCTCCCCCACATTCATTCTCTCTAAAATAAATAACTCTTTAAAAAAAAAAAAAAAGCGGTGCCTGAGTGGTTCAGTCAGTTAAGCTCCTACCTTCAGCTCAGGTCATGGTCCCAGGGTCCTGGGATCAAGACCCATGTTAGGCTCATCTTTCAAAAAAAGGACAGTTACCCCCACATGCCCATTTCCCTTCTTCTGTTTTGTTTTTTTTTTTTCTCATTTTCCCTGGCAATGAACAGAATATACTGTACAAATTACCTGTTGTTTTTTTTTAAATTTGGTGTTGCTTTGTTTCCTTGCTGAAGCACAAGCTTTGTGGAAACAGACTTGCCATTCCCTAACGTGTCCCCACCACCCTGTGTCTGGCACTCAGATATGCAGAAAAGTTAACCACGTGAGTCAGCATTTCCTCTAAGAGGACCAGCAGGTGTTGTCTCCAGCCAGAATGTATACATGCAGGCTTTGGAGGCAGAAGGACCTAGGTTTGAATCCTGGCTCCACCTCTTCAAAGCCGAGAGAATGTAGACAAGATACCAGACACAAATTTTGGTTTCCCTGGGTGTTAGGGATGATCTCACTTACTTGATGGGGTTGTCATCAGAGATACAGGAGTTAACATGTGCAGCCTTTAGTCAACACTCAGCAAACGTCGATATTAAATGATACTGGAAACCAAGTGAAGGGTGCAGTAGCGCTTAAGGAGAACCGTGACCCTAAGTGGTTTACTGAGAGACGTGCAGAGGCCAGCTCCGTTCTCCTGAGGAGAGGAAAGCTGAGCAGAGACACTGTCCTTTGTTCGTTTACGAATTTGTCCTCATGACTGGCTGTTGGTTGAGAGGTGGTTTTTTTTTTGGCTTTAGATTAGAAATCGTTTTTCTATTTCATTCAGAGTTGTTTTTAAAAACTGACTTTATTGAAGTGTAATATATGTAGATGATAAACTCACCCATTTTAAATGTAGAGTTCAAGTTTTGCAGCATAACATACTGTGCAATGATTGTGGATGATGTAGAACAGAAATCGGTATTTTGGGAGTCAAGGGCTACCTCGACAGTCTGCTAAAAACCACACAGACCCACTTCTAAAAATGACCAGACTTGATAGCATTTGAGAAATTTTCCCTCTAAGTGAAGAAGATCAATATTTCACAAATAATTACATTTAGCCCTTGATCAGCACTGGGGCCGGGGCATGAATCCCCATGCAGTTGAAAAATCTGCCTATAACTTTTGATTCCCCCCAAAGTTACTTACTGATTGCTTACTGTTTGCTGGAAGCTTTATTGATGACATAGAAGCTATGTTGTATGTATTATATACTGTATTTTCTTTTTTAAGATTTTACTTATTTGAGAGAGAGCGTGAGCTGGGGGAGGGGCAGAGGGACAGGCAGACACCCTGCTCACTGGGGAACCCGATCCCAGGACCCCTGAGTCCATGACCTGACCCTAGGGCAAATGCTTAAGGCACTGAGCCTCCCAGGCACCCCTTAGCCACGTTTTACATACTTGGTTGTCAGGGGACGGTGCTGTGCGTGATCTGACAGGAGGCGGAATTCAGCACTGCAGGGACCAGAAACAACAGCAGCTGTTGAGTTGGAAAGTCTGAGGGTCTCCCATTTATCACTGAACCAGCCTCCTGGTGCCGAGGCGTAATAACAACAAAATCATTTTCCTGAGAAAACATGTTTGTTGGGCAGGTAGCAAGGACGTTCACAGAATGAGAGGATAGAACGTGGTCTTCATGCAGCTTCATTAAATACGTGTGCCAACTAGGTGTGCCATCTCATGACGTGTGATGCCCCATGGACCCAGTCTGGTTCTTCTCCATCGCCGCTTCTTGGAGTTGGACCTGATTTCATTACTGCTTTTCACCTGAATCCACTGGGGAATGGGACGGTTCTGCTTTTGTTTCTTGGCCAGGAATTGCTTGATTCTGAAAGTCTGGTGAGAAGACATGGCCAGAAACAATCAGCCACACACAGCGGGATGGTCTGTGTACTGTGTTCTTAACGTAAGCTGGAGAAGAGAAAGCATTATTAAGAAAATCATAAGGGGGGGCATGCCTGGATGGCTCATTCATTTAAGCGGTTAACTCTCTTATTTTGGCTCAGGTCATGATCTCAGGGTCTGGGATTGACCCCACCTGGGGATGTATGCTCAGTGGGGAGTCTGCACCAGCTCTTTCTTCCTCTTTCTCTGGCAGGCGCCTCTGGCAGGGCCCCCGCCCTGGTGTACACACTGGCTTGCTCTTAAATAAATAAATCTTTTTTTTTTTTTTAAAGATTTTATTTATTTATTTGACAGAGAGAGATCACAAGTAGATAGAGAGGCAGGCAGAGAGAAGGAGGGAAGCAGGCTCCCTGCTGAGCAGAGAGCCGGATGCGGGACTCGATCCCAGGACCCTGAGATCATGACCTGAGCCGAAGGCAGCGGCTTAACCCACTGAGCCACCCAGGCGCCCCCCACCCCAAGAAATAAATCTTAAGGGAAAAAAAAAAGAGTTGGGTGGCACCCAGCTTCACTGGAAGCGTTGGAGGTACCATTTGGCTGAATGCTGGAGAAAGCTTAGGTGCCAGTTCTCCCCATTGTTGAGAGGAAATGCCCCAGGAGGCCTCAGTCCAGTTTTCTTTCTTTGTTCCCAAATCTAAACCAACCAGACCACACCTGGGCCCCTGGCACTCTCACTCAAAAGGTATCCACAATAGGACTCTCCATAGTATTGGGTAGTGCTGGGACAGATGCTGCTTTGGTAGGATTCTAGCGTTTTCAAGTCAGGAATGGATTTATAGACAGACAGACATAATATACTCCTGAAATTTATCTTTGCCACTTGGAAATTTCCCTTGGTGAACAAAGCAAGCAAAACCAAAGGATACAAAACTTGTTCGGACTTTCTTTTCTTTGATACTTTCCCAGCTGAGACAGTAGATTCAAAAAGAAAAAAAAAAAAAATGAAAACTCACCAGGTACAGTATGATCTCAGATTTGTTCTCACTCTCTCTCTCTCCCTTTTTTTTTTTTTTGGTAAGAGAAAGTGAGCAGAAGCAAGGGGGAGCAGCAGAGGGAGAAGCAGACTACCCCCTGAGCAGAGAGCCGGATGTGGGACTCAGTCCCAGGACCCTGGGATCATTAACAAAGTGGAAGGCAGACATTTAACTGACTGAGCCACCCAGGCGTCCTTTTTTTTTTCCACCCCCCAATAGAAGGTTTGGTTTTGTTTTGTTTTGTCTTTTTTAAGATTTTACTTACTTGACAGCACAAGCAAGGAAAGGGCAGAGGGAGAAGCAGGTTCCTTGCTGAGCAGAGAGCCTGAGAGGTGGGGCTCTCTGCTCTGCGGGGAGCCTGCTTCCTCCTCTCTTTGCCTGCCTCTCTGCCTGCTTGTCTGTCAAAGAAATAAATAAAATCTTTTAAAAATAAATAAATAAGAAGGTTATCTCAGGGTTGTGGGGATTAAAGTAGATCGCGTTTTTATTTTATGTTTTGAGCTTTATATTTTTCAGATGCCGTAAATTGAAGACTCAGTTTTATTTCTTTTTGGGCCTGAGTGCAGTAGGTGGGGTCCGTCGGTGCCAGCTGATGAGGCACCGTCGTCGCTGTTCTGTATTGGCCTCTCTTGTGTGTTTATTCCTTGACTGGCTGAGGGGCCAGAACCTGTCCAGTGGCTCGTACCCAGCGCACCCCGTCTCGCCTCCGGCGTGTGAGTGTGAGAGTGAGTGTGAGCGTGAGAGTGAGCGTGAGTGTGAGAGCGAGAGTGAGTGTGACTGTGAGAGAGTGGGTGTGAGTGAGTGCGAGAGTGTGAGCGAGTGAGTGTGAGAGTGTGAGTGAGTTGAGTGTGGGTGTGAGTGAGAGAGAGTGTGTGAGAGTGCGTGTGACTGTGTGAGTGACTGAGAGTGAGTGGGTGTGAGAGAGTGTGTGTGAGGGTGAGTGTGACTGAGTGTGAGCGTGATTGCGTGTGAGAGTGTGAGTGTGACAGAGAGTGTATGACTGAGAGTGTGGGTGTGAGTGCGAGAGTGTGAGAGAGTGTGAGTGGGTGTGAGTGAGACTGAGAATGTGTGAGTGAGTGAGTGAGATAGTGAGTGTGGGTGTGAGTGTGATAGAGTGTGTGTGACTGACTGTGAGAGTGTGGGTGTGAGTGAGAGCGAGAGTGCGTGTGAGGGTGAGTGTGAGTGCGTGTGCGTGCGAGAGTGTGAGCATGAGTGAGAGTGAATGTGAGCGTGTGAGTGAGTGTGACTGAGAGTGTGAGTGGGTGGGTGTGAGTGTGACAGAGTGCGTGTGAGTGCGAGAGTGAGTGTGAGCGTGAGAGAGTGAGTTGAGTGTGAGTGAGTGTGACAGAGAGTGACTGTGAGAGTGTGGGTTTGAGTGTGACGGAGTGTGAGAGTGTGGGTGTGTGACTGAGAGTGCGTGTGAGTGTGAGAGTGCGTGTGACTGTGAGTGAGTGTGAGAGCGAGAGTGAGTGTGACTGAGTGTGTGAGTATGACTGAGAGTGTGGGTGTGAGTGAGAGTGTGAGAGTGCGTGTGACTGAGTGTGGGTGTGACTGAGAGTGAGTGTGAGTGCGTGTGAGAGTGTGTGAGCGTGTGAGCGTGAGTGAGAGAGTGAATGTGAGAGTGCGTGTGAGTGAGTGTGGGTGTGAGTGAGAGTGTGTGAGAGTGCGTGTGAGTGTGACTGAGAGTGTGAGAGTGCGTGTGAGTGAGTGTGCGCACGGTTCACTCTTTCGTGCTGCTGTGCAAGGTTCTGTTGTGTGAGCTCCTTTTATTATCAGGGAAGAGTCTCTGGGCAAGTTAGTCCCTGCGTACCTTGTCTCTAGCCCCTTGTCCCGTTGGCTGCTGCAGACGAACTGAGCTAGAGCTCCGGGTGGCAGGAACACGGGCTGCGGTGGTGGTCAGCAAGGGCGATCGGCTGTAAGGTTTGGGGATTCTTATTACGTCAGCTGTAAAGACAGAGACGCAAGGAGCCACCCTGGGCCCTGGCATCTCTGGGGCTCGTTGACTAAGATGACCCTAAAGCAGGGCTCGTTGAGAAGGGAAGAACCACAGCTCTGCGGGGCGCATCCACATGGGTGTTTTTCTTCCCACGGGGACCTCAGAGCGACCCTGCATAGGTCTCCCTGCCCCAGCTCTGCCCCGCTTTCAGCTGTGACGCAGCTCAGTATCACCGTTTACTCTGTAGCCGGGACACCTGGAACATCCTTGTTCTCGCCTATGTCTCTCCAGATCAACATCGAAGACCTGGAGGAGGGACCTGTGCTCAATGGGGAGAGACCCGATGGTCTGCTCACGGGCGCTGTGGTGTCAGGGAACAGAAGGAGGTCGCAGAGTGGAGGTGCTGACCGCAAGAAGGCTGGAGAAGTGGCTGACAAGGCAGTGGCCCCGGAGCAGGTACGGGGAGCCACCACCCCCACTCTGTGCTGTCATTTTCAGCCCTTGCAGCTGCTCCACAATTTCCTTGGGACCCTGGAGAAGATTTGCAGGAAGCTCTTAAGGGGATACATACAGGGTCCCCTCGACAAGGTTCCCTAGCACGCGACCTGCCTTTACACTCAGGGAGGGTCTGCTTGTGCTCGGCATCCTGTGTGTGCTCTGGGACTGTGTGGCTGCGGCTCTGGTCTGGTGGGCAGGGCTCTGGGGGTGCCAGGCCTTGAGGAACTGCAACCCCGGTTAGTGTCGCAGTGTGGCTATGGTGTGGCACAGGAGAGGGTCTCTTGGGGGGCTTCTGCTTGTTTGTGCAGCAAGTGATGGACAAGTGCAGCCAGAGAGAGCGGACTCATGGGTGGCGTGGACCCCTGCCCGAGCTCGGGATGGTGGGGGGCTGGACACTGCAAGGTGCGAGGTGGCTGGGTGGAGGCACCAGAGGGTTTCTGGCAGAGGCACCGAGGGTATGGGGGGAGGTGTACAGGGGCCCCCGTCTCCAGGGCAGCTACGTGTGGTAGGGATGGTGGTTGGCAAAGTGAAAGACGAAAGCAGAGGGCAGATGGGTGGATGGTTTGGGCCCTGTGAGTCTCTTGAGGTCCCATGTCCCTTTTCAGCTTGCTGCTTTAGTTGTCAGATTTTCACATTTTATTGTCTCTTTCCATTGACCAAAATGTGCTTCTTTTCTTAGTCTAATATAAGTGGCAAACTCCGAAAGAAGAAAAAGAAACAGAAAAATAAGAAAAACACTACAGGAGAAATTCTGGTATGTGCATCTGGCTGTTTTTCAAAGTGGTGGTAGAAGCAATTCATTTTTATTTAGTGTTTTGATTTCTTCCCATTAGGAATCTAGTTCAGAGGTTAGGGAAGGTCACAAACCAAGTTTGGCTGATGTTCCTTCACTTCATTTCTTGAGGGTTAGACGCCCTCGCTCTTGACAGCCACGTCCTGGCCACCATCTGATGTGACATTCTCTGGCCGGCAGAGTCCCTTCTCAGTCTTTTGGCCCCGTGCCCTGAGCTTTTTCTAGGCCGCCGGACTGACGGGCTGGTGAGGTGCGAACCTCTGGGTGTGGTCTGTTGTCAGAACCCTGTTTCCTTCAGTCTCCACCGTCAGATGCAGTGTCTCCTGAGGAGGCTGTAGCTTTCTGGACCTGTCGCTGGTAGTTCTGGTCCCAAGTCCCACCAGGAGAGGTGGCACTCCTATAGGACTAGCAGTTGGGCTTGTGACTGAGTTCCTTCAAGGGTCCTTCTGGCTCTGTGGTCCTGCCAATGCTAAACTCTCCCCTTTTTTCTAAGTATATTTGCAGTACTCAGTATTAGGATTATAATGTCTTTCGGAATGTAAACAATATAATGTGGGTTTCTTATAAAAATAACTTTGTTATTATTACAACGTTTAAAATAAAGTTACTGTGGTGATTAATATATTGTTCTGGTGTTTTTAGGAAAATGGGCTGGAAGATATCGATCGCATCTTGGAGAGGATTGAGGACAGCAGTGGTTTCAACCGCCCGGGGCCGCCTCCCCTCAGCTCCAAGAAGCATGTCCTGTATGTGGAGCACAGGTACAGCTCTCTCCCCTCTGCTGAGACACAGACTCCCTGAAAAGGAAAAAAACATTTGAGAAAGACTTCCTGTATCTAAAAGCAATGTAGATTTGTTGTTTTTGCTTTGTTTTTAAAGATTTTATTTATTTATTTGTCAGAGCACAAGCAGGCGAAGTGGCAGGCAGAGGCAGAGAGAGAAGCAGGCTCCCCACTGAGCAAGGAGCCCAATGTGGGACTCGATCCCAGGACCCCTGGATCACGACCCAGGCTGAAGGCAGCAGCTTAACCGACTGAGCCACCCAGGCATCCCTGTTTTATTTTGTTTTAAAGATTTTATTTATTTATTTGACAGAGATCACAATAGGCAGAGAGGCAGGCAGGGTGGGGTGGTGGGGGGAGCAGGCTCCCTGCTGAGCAGAGAGCCTGATGTGGGCTCCCTCGCAGGACCCCGGGATCATGATCTGAGCCGAAGGCAGAGGCTCAACCCACTGAGCCCCCCAGGCGCCCCAGCAATGTAGGGTTATTGCCAAACAGTTAGGCAATAGGAACAAGGAGACAGAAGGAAAGGGGAAATACTCTGTTTCCAAGGACCCGTCTTTTAGCTTTATGTATCTGGGAATGTTTTTTTCTTGAATGGTATTGAAGTAAGATGTCGTTCTGTGATAAATTATTCCTCTCTTGTCCTAGTAGATGCCTAATGAAACCCCATTCTTACTCAAGAGACCGCTGCCAGTGCTCCAAAAGCTTTTTTTCCCTATGTGGGTGAGCCCACCTTGATCTGGTCTCTAGGCCTGAGGCCGCTCTGACTCAGCCGCAGTCCTGGCCGCTTCTGTTTGCGATCCGCATGGTTTGGGGGAAAGCAGGCCTGCCGGCTGTCTTTCATGTCAGAGTAGCCGTTCTCCCTGCTGAGTTTTATGTGACCTTTCAGAATTCCCAGACTCGTAAAAGAACTCCATTTCATTTTTCTTTGTAAAATTTTCAATTTTCTAGACACTTGAATCCAGACACAGAGCTGAAAAGGTATTTTGGTGCTCGAGCTGTCCTTGGGGAACAAAGGTAAGCACAACACTGGCTTTGTTCTAAAAAATGTGCGGGAGTATTCTCAAGGCCTCTGAACCTTTGGGGGAGGGGAGGTAAAGCTCCTTGCCAAAGGAAAGCCTTCGAATTTCTGGTTCTGCAAATTCTTCGGAACCTGAAGGGTCAGGGAGGAGCTGGTGTTTGACTGTTTCCATGACCATGGGCTCCATCCCTCACACCGCCTTTGCTAGCATGTGAGTCACAATTTTACAGAGATTCTGGAGGTCCTGAAATTTTGAGCTTCTAGCCCTGAAATCTTGGCCAGCTTAATTTTTGTTTCCTCATCAGCTGCAAAGCCAACACAGGGTTTAGATTCTGGGATAAGTCTGGCCTTTGTTATGTAACAGTTCTCAGTGCTTGACGACCTGTGGGAGATGCAGTGAGAAATGCTCTGAGCACGAGGGTCTGTTTGCAGGACTGTGTGTCGAAGGGGTGGGTGTTAGCTTTCCTGACCCCCAGCATTGAGGCGGGCTGTGACTGCGAGCTTCCACACGGGCAGAAGCTTTGGCTTTTCAGTATATGTATTTTTTCTAAATGTAGAATTAAATGCTTGTTATAAAAAAAATTGAGGCAAGGAGCACTGGGTGGCTTAGTCGCTTGGGCATCAGACACTTATTTTCAGCTCAGGTCATGATCTTGGGGTCCTGGGATTGAGCCCCACTTTGGGCTCTGCACTTAGAGCCCTGCTTGTCTCTCTCTCTCCCTTTGATGAAGTTCTAGAACCTAGGTGAGGTTTGGTGGACTGAGGTCCGGAGCCGATGACCAAGAAAGAATTCTTGAGACATCTTTGGTGCAAAATGATGGTTTATGAAAGCACGGGGACAGGACCCGTGGGCAGGAACAGCCGCTGCCCCGGGTTGTGAGGGATGGCAGGTTATGTACCCTGCGGTTGGGGGAAGGTGAGGGAAAGGGAGGTTTCAACGGAGTTTTCATATGCTAAAGAGGGCCTACAAGGTGCGGGGAGACGACTGTCTTTTAGCAAGCCATTACCATCAAGATAGTTGGAAGATTCCTGTCTTGCAGGATTGTGATCTCTGCAAGTTAACTATTTGTTTCTCGTTTGTGGCTGTCAGGGGTGCCTGAGGAATGTTACACATATTACCGAGGGGAGCGGGTGGAGAGGGGGTGCAAGGTGCCAGCTTTTGCTTTGTCCTCAGTCAGCCTCCTGCTCCCTCATCCCCTTTGCCCCCCATCCCCGCAGACACATGCTCTCGTGTGCGTGCTCTCTTTTTCTCAAAACCTTAAAAAAAAAAAATTGGGGCAATTTAGAATAAAATTGTTTCCTTTGAGCCCCCCTCCAAGATCACCGTTCAGGAGAGCTTATTGCCCCCGTCTGGGCCCCTCTGCCGTGTGCCGCACCACCTGGTTCTGCCTGGCTGGGTTCTAGGTGGATGAGGGGAATGCACGTGCCCCAGGGCACAGGCTGCTGTGGTCTCCCTGCAGCTGGGGGTCATTTCTAGTGAAGCTGCCCAGCCGTGGCTCTCCCCGTGTGTTGTCAGCTCCAGGTCTCCGCTGCCCTCCACGTAGGCAGCCCCTGCTGTCTGAGCTGCAGTGGGGTTGGGGTCTTACATTCTGTCGAAGGTCGTTGACCAGCAGTTGTTCTTGTTCTTTGCTAATGGTTTTGGTTTTATCTTGGGTGTCAGGTTATTCAGGACACAAGGGTTTCTACTTTGTCTTCTTCCAGAATGTCGATGAAAACCCTTGTCACCTCAGGGTGTTCCTCTTTGTCACCTGGCTGACGGCATGTCTCCCCACCCTGTTCCGCTGGTTTGGGTTGGCTTGGTCGGTCGTTGCTGTGCCTTCATATTCTGCCCAGTCGTACGTTTGTGTAATGGTCGTTCGCAGGGATTATAGTTACTGTGTTTATGGTAGTAGCTTCTAGAACATCGACTGAATACTTGAAGTCCCACCAAAGTTTTCCCTGAGAAGCTCCGGTTCCCTCATCTCCCTCATCCCTTACCCTGCACACAGGCGGACTCGGTGTGTTTCTGGTCGTCCTCTCTGGCAGCGCCTTCAGTTCTACAGAGGCCTGGGCGCGGCTTTTTCCCCCCCCGACAGCGGGAGGGACAGCCCTCCTGCTGCCCTGCTGGTGTCTGCCTGCTCCCCTGCTCAGTGCACGGCTGAGCTCTATCTGCAGTTCGGGGGACCAGGCAGTTCTGGGCATCCACGCTCCCAATCAGAGCTGGCCTCGGTGCTCGAGGTCCGGAAGGCTGAACACCCACCCTCCCACACACGGTCCTGCCAACAGACCCTTGTTTGAGCATTTCTCTCTGCGTCTCCCAGATGTCATCAAACACTGAGAACTGTTACATAACAAAGATCAGACTTATCCCAGAATCTAAACCCCGTGTTGGCTTTGCTGCTAATTGAGAAAAATTAAGCTGGCCAAGATTTCAGGGTTAAAAGCTTAAAATTTTATAGGTGATGATGAGTTTTCTTTAGATTTTGACCATGATTTTCAGGTACCATGTTTTTTCTCCTGCAGTTTTGCTGCCTTGTCAGGAGAAGAAACATGCTTTTTTCTCCTGTTTCTAATACAGACCAGTTCTTACTCATACTTTTTTTTTTCTCAATGAAATGGTTCAGATTATCAAAGTATAGAGAAAAGTGTCCACATGTCCACTTGCCTGTTACTTAAGAAAAAAAGCCTCAGTGAACAATATATGACCTGTTTGTGGCCACAGCTTCAAGAGGGCGGTCTGGCCCTTGCAGAGACCCCCGGATAACGGAGGTGGAGCGCACGGCCGAGGGGAGGGGGCCATCCAGGCACAGCGTCTCGGGAGCCGGGCCTCCCTTTCCGGCCGCCCCCTCGTGCTCTGTCTTGGTCATTCCCACCCAGAAGCGTGTTGACGTCAGTGTCCTGCTACACCAGTTCTTTTCATGGTTACCATTTTTCCATTTTCAAAACTTGTTGCTGCACTGGTGGCATCTTGCGAGGGGAGGAGAGGACCACCTCAGAACAGAGGCACAGAGGCCCTCCCTTTGTCCTCTGTGCCCGTCTGGCGTGGCATTTGTCCGCCTGGTCCTTAGGGATGCAGATCGCTTCCTTCCACAGGGCGCCTACAGGCTCACTCTTCCCCATGTCTTTATTTTCAGTGTTTTACTTTTGTTTCCTTTTTACCCTTTCTGCCATTTTGCTGGACTATAAATTTTCTGTTTTTCTATTTTTTTTAAGATTTTATTTATTTATTTGACAGATAAAGATCACAAGCAGGCAGAGAGGCAGGCAGAGAGAGGGAGAGGGGGAAGCAGGCTCCCTGCCGGCAGAGAGCCCGATGCGGAGCTCAATCCCAGGACCCTGAGATCATGACCTGAGCCGAAGGCAGAGGCTTAACCCACTGAGCCACCCAGGCGCCCCTTTTCTGTTTTTCTTTCTCTGATTGTTTGGTCATTTAGGTGACAGTTTCTAGTTTCGTCTGGCAGTGGTCCTGTTCTGTTTTTGTTTTTAAGATTTTATATATTTATTTGACAGAGCATAAGCAGGGGGAGCAGCAGAGGGAGAGGCAGAAGCAGGCTCCCCGCTGAGCAGGGAGCCCGAAGCAGGGCTCAGTTCCAGGACCCCCGGATCGTGACCTGAGCTGAAGGCAGACTGAGCAGCTGAGCTCCCCAGGCACCCCAATGGTCCTGGCCTGTCCTGTGTCCTGGCCATCACTCTGCCACCCCCGCCCCCATCCTTCCCTTCCCCACAGTTTTGTTTCCACGGTCCCTGCAGGGGTCAGGCAGTGAAGGGAAGCTATGAGCATGTCTGTTCTCCCCAGGCCGAGGCAGAGGCAGCGAGTGTACCCCAAGTGTACCTGGCTCACGACCCCGAAGAGCACATGGCCGCGGTACGCCAAACCAGGTGAGGGGCTGTGACTTCGGCAGAGCAGGTACGCGGCTCTGTGGGCTCCGTGGCCTGGCGCTGGAGGACCCAGGACCCCTGGCCCCCGTACACCAGCTGCGTGTTTTCTCAAATAGGGTTTCATGCAGCTTTTTTCTACTTTCTTCCTGTGGATACTGTATTGTAGGAAGCGATCTCGTTCATTTTCCAGGTGTGATAGTTTGTACTTGGTTACCAGCTAGTAAGTCTGTAGAACTTAAGATCAGCAACTTTGCAGAAGCACTTGGGGTATAGCGTAAACACCTCGTATCTGAGAGCCCCTGGGTTTAGGGCCTGACTGGGGCGGGAGAGAGGGTAGAGACAAGGGCACCCAGAGTCGTCATGGAGGGAGCATATGATGGCCCCGCCCTGCCCATGTCCCGTGTGCCGGCAGCGTGGACACGGGAAGCTCTTCGCAGAAGCCCCGAGCCAGGCAGACGAGTTTCCTTGGCTCCGTGGTGCAGCAGGAGGGTAGCCTGGAACCATTTACCTATTTTATGATGCTTCTGAAGGCTCCTAGGAAGAAACGGCTTCATACACCCAATTTCTGGCAGGAGGAGAAAGGGTTTCCACTGGTCTCCCGGGCCCAGCTGGATCTGGGCTCTGCCTGGGGTTCAAGCCCAGCCAGATGGTGGCGGGGTGGCACCCTGTGTGTCCTCACCTCTGCTGTCTTAGGGCACTGGTGATCCGGCCACACCCGTGGGGGAAGCAGCTTCTTCCTGGGAAAAGCATAGGCGGGAAGCTGGTGTGGACCACACCACGGGCAGTCAGCCTTGGGCATTGTGGGAAAGTAGACTCTCTTATGGGGACTCAGTGGGGTATGCCCGAGCCTGCTCGTGGGGGTCACAGGAGGGGCCTGATGCTGCCCTCCCCGCAGGTCTGTCGATGAGGCTGCTGGAGTCCAAGAAGGGCCTCTCCTCCTTTGCTTTTGAGCACAGTGAGGAGTACCAGCAGACCCAGCACAAGTTCCTGGCGGCGGTGGAGTCCATGGAGCCCAATAACATCGTGGTGCGTGTGTCCCCCAGAGCGTCTTTGCCTAGCCTACATCCTCTCCTCAGTTACCAGGCTGCCCCGCACCTGGATCCCAGCCTGCAGTCCCTCGGCCCACAAGCCCTTTCTCCTTCTGGCTCCTCTGACCCCTGCTGTACGCCTGGATCCTGGGGCTTGGGGGACTGGCAGAGGGTGAAGTTAGAGGTGCTGAGGCACAGAGTCCCAGCTCCCACCACAGGCCTGGTTGGTAATTCAGCTGAGCAGCACCGATGAGCCTGGTTTCAGTGACTGAGAGAAAGCCCCGCCTGGGGCTGCTGCCTTGCTGTAGGCTGTCCAGGAGGCATGGCCTGTGGCCCCAGCAGCGTCCCTGCTTTGCTTGTAGGTTCTGCTCCAGACTAGCCCGTACCACGTGGACTCGCTGCTGCAGCTCAGTGATGCTTGTCGCTTTCAGGAGGATCAGGAGATGGCCCGAGACCTCGTCGGTAAGAGCTCGCCTGGGCGCCCGGCCCTGCCATCCCTCGGGCCCAGCACCCCCTCTGCTGAAGGAGCGCAGGCGCTGTCCCAGAAGGTGCTGGCCATACATAGCCACTGCCAGGGCTTTTTTTAAGAGGGAAGGGGGAGAGAGAGGTGGCGGGAGGGGCAGAAGGAGAGAGAATCTCAAGCAGACTCCCCAGTGAACTTGGGGTCCGACTCGGGGCTCGATCCCATAATCCTGGGGTCATGACCTGAGCCAAAAGCAGATGCGTCACTGACTGAGCCCCCAGGCACCCTGGCCTGGCTTTTTTCATTTACCGTCATGTCTTCAGGGTTCCCTCCTCTTCAGTCAGATGATGCTCTGTAGTGGGGATGGGCTGTGTTTGGTGTGTTACTTGGGAGACTCTTGGGTAGTTTCCACTTCTTGAGTCCTGTGACTGAGCTGCTGTGGATGTGTGCATGTGGGTTTTGTGAGGACGTGTGTTTGTATCTCCCTGTCTAGAAAGTCGTCCCTTTGCGTGAGGTCAGTGCACAGAGTGGCGTTCGTGATCCCCAGGGTCACAGCTGCGCCATGGCACTTTCCAGAACCCTTGCTGTGCTCCCTTCTTCCTTTGAGAGCTTTCTTTGTGAGCCTTGGGGGATAGGCTTGGAGGTGCCGCGCGCTGGCCGTGACCCCTCCCCCGGTGTCCGTGTGGCCCTCAGAGAGAGCGCTGTACAGCATGGAGTGCGCCTTCCACCCCTTGTTCAGCCTCACCAGCGGGACCTGCCGGCTGGACTACCGCAGGCCCGAGAACAGGTGCGTTTCCAGGGTGGCAGGTGTGTCGAGGTGGGTCAGTGCGGTGATGGGATGTGAGTACCCATGTAGGTGCAGCTAGGGCAGGTGGCAGGGGTCTGTCCCCGAGCTGTCCCACCTGCTAGCTCACACCAGGGGATCTCACTGTGTTTGTAACCTGAACATAAGCGGGTCAGGCTCGAGGACAGATGGATTGGGCTAGCCTGGGGTTACATTTGTCATTGAGAGAAATGAGTCTGATAAGCCGCTGCTTGATCAGGGGGTGTGTAGTTGTGTTTCCTTGTATATTGGGACAAAAGGATCTGTGCCCTATGAGTTTGGAATGCTCTGGAACGTTCTGTGGGCAGCCCTACGTTCCTCCGTCATCGAGCTGTTTGAACGCAGTCTGATCCCGCTCCCTGCACTGAACGGGATGACTGTGTGACACTCTCTTCTCACAGATGTGTCTCCCGCCCCAGAGCCCTGCTCTGGCACCAGCGCTCCTCACCCCCAATTCCTGCCCTCGGCCTGGCCTTCAGGGCCTTGCAGGGGAGATGGGTGTGTCCTGTCCTGGTGCCCTCTTCACCCACTCAGGGCTTCCAGCAGCCTTGCTCCTGTCCCGCACACACACCTTGGCGGTCAGCCCGGGTCCCAGGACACCTGGACCCCCCCACTGCACGATTGTCTGGTTCTGTGTTCGTTCCACTTGTCTCTCCAGTGAGATTGTTGGTTCTCGGAGACAGGTTATAACACACTGACACGTGCAGGCCCAGCAGGGTGGTGCCCACTGGTAACAATCCCAGCCCCCCAGAGGACCCAGCTCAGCAGACCTGACACCCAGCAGCAGCGCCCTAGCCGCCCGTGGGACTGGCGGTTCCCAGTAGTGATGGCAGGAGATGCTGAACAGTAAACCAAAAACAGGACAGTCTGAGCTAATGGCGAGCTTGTTGGGCTCCCTGGGGACCCATGTAACTGGACAGCTCGGAGCATCACTGGGCCCGCAGACGGAGGAACGCTCGTGACCCTTCGCGCCTCTGGGGCTGCCTGGGAAGCGCCAGTGCATAGTGGGTGGCGGTGCGGCTGGGGGACTGCGGCCACCCTGGCTCAACAGGAACTGTGTTGGGTCTAGGAGCTTCTACCTGGCCCTCTACAAACAGATGAGCTTCCTGGAGAAGCGCGGCTGCCCGCGCACGGCGCTGGAGTTCTGCAAGCTTATCCTGAGGTAAGCGCCCGCAGCTGATGCCCAGGGTCCTTGCGGCCCGCAGCTGCCCGCCCCTGCCCACGCGGCGCTCTCTCTCCTGTGCCGCCCCCCAAGCCTGGAGCCCGACGAGGACCCCCTGTGCATGCTGCTGCTGATCGACCACCTGGCCCTGCGGGCGCGCAACTACGAGTACCTGATCCGCCTCTTCCAGGAGTGGGAGGTGGGTGCGCCCCCCACCCCCGCCGGTCTCCCTCTGGGTTGCTTCTGCTTCCGCAGGTACCCGAGCTGTGGGGGGTGGGGCCCCTATGGGACAGACGCACACACACGCACGCACACACACACACCCCCACCGCCGTGGTCCTGACCTCAAGGCAGAACTGTAAAAAATGCACTGCCTCACCGCTGACCTTGATGGTGATAGCTTGTTGCAGTGACGCTGTTTTAGGGTTAGGGTTAAGTGTAATAGTAATAACATTCACTTCACTTATTCTGGGTTGTTTTTTTTTTTTTTTAGATTTTTTATTTATTTATTTGACAGACGGAGATGACAAGTAGGCAGAGAGGCAGGCAGAGAGAGAGGAAGGGAAGCAGGCTCCCTGCTGTGCAGAGAGCCCGATGTGGGGCTCGATCCCAGGACCCTGAGATCATGACTCGAGCCGAAGGCAGCGGCTGAACCCACTGAGCCACCCAGGCGCCCCTCACCTATTCTGTTTTTAATTCGGCCGCTAGAAAACATGTTTCTGTGGGCTGGTGCCCTCTTGGAGATGTGTGACCCTGACCACCTCCCATGAGGCGGGGCTGGTGGGTGTCCCTGAGAAATGACCAAATACGTGAGTCACTCTGAACCCTTTCATTTGCTCTTTGGCCGAGGAGCCCCCCCTCTGGGGACCTAGTTTACAGAAGTTTCCGGAGCCCCCAAATGCAGCTCCAGGGAGCACACCCTCCCTCCACAGCAAGGCTAAAGGGAAATGTTTGCTGATCTGTGGAGCCCATGGCCCTGCTTTAGTGGAGAAAACCTGGCCCGTGGTATGTTGTCTGTTACGGACACATAGAGAAAGGCCAGCTAAGTGCTCGGCCACGTTCACGGATGTGATCAGGTCCCAGCAGGGGGAAGGACGCTCCTCGTTGGACCCGGGCTTCCCGAGTTTCCCACTGTGGGTGAGCACGGGTTGCCTGCTTGTGGGCGCTTGTGACCCCACTTGACTCCACCTCCCCTGGGACCTTCCTCTCTTCTGTCCCTGTCGAATCCCGCCCGGTGCCCCCCCCCCCAGCCGCCACCACCACCATCCTGGCCTTGTTACTTGTCTCCTGCTAGGAGAGAGCCCCCAGACGTGCCATGAAGTTCTTTATGCCAAGTAGAGAGATGCCAGCACAACACTTGTGCTCATCGCCAGGGCTCAGACTCGGAGCATCTGGAAATTGCGCGTCCTTTGTGTTTGCCACATTAGTGCTCCAGACTTTGTTTCTCTGGCCCTTGCAGGCTCATCGGAACCTGTCTCAGCTCCCAAATTTCGCCTTCTCTGTGCCGTTGGCCTATTTCCTGTTGAGTCAACAAGCAGACCTCCCAGAACAGGAGCTGAGCTCTGCTAGGGAGCAGGCATCTGTCCTGATCCGACAGGCCCTCACCATGTTCCCCGGAGGTGGGTGCAACCTCATGAGCACCCCCACCCAAGCACAGTTTGAAAGCTGAACATGAGTCAGAAGTGACTTTGGTCTCCAACTGTCTTGGGGTTTTAGGATGAGTGTTTCAATATTGACAGAGAAAAACCTGCTCTCAGAAGACAGGTCTTTTCTAGAGGAAGGGGCCTGAGCTGCGGGGAGTCAGCAGAGCCGTGCAGGAGGGACCCGGTCCGCAGACCGCACTTCCCAGGGAGTTGAAGAACTCAGAGACAAGGTTGTCCTGGGACTGCACAGCACAGGCTCCTGCACCCTCCCTGAGCTTTCTGGAGTCGTGGGCCGGTGTCCCTGTGGGGACAGAGTCTTGCGGGCTGATCTCGGTGGTGACAGGAGGTCAGAGAGCAGCCTCCTGTCCCTTCAGGGTCCTGGTGGAGTTGGGCCCTCCTGCCACGTGCGGTTTCACAGAGGGCTGTGTGCCAGCAACTGGCCATGTGGCTCAGGCACACTGTCCCCACAGCCCCGTCAGTCACGCTTCACCTCCGTGAGCCTGCTGCGTCCCAGGTAGAGGAGGCAGCCAAGGTCCCCACTTCTCGGGCTCACAGCCTGGGGCAGGGAGCCAACAGTGGAAGGAGCTGAAAAGGATAGTGTATCAGGTGATACGAGGTGCTAGGGACACAACAGAGCAGGGGGTGTAGATGAGGGGGTGAAGGTGTGAGGAGGTAGCCGGGATAGGATCGCAGCCCGTGTCAGTGAGGGTTCCCACCAAGTCTTGGGAGAACTGACCCTTCCTCATCGAGCTGCATGTAGCGAGGAGGCGAGGCCCCTGGTGGGCGCTAGCTGTTGCTGTGGGGCCAGGGGTGTTGGCAGTCGTGAGACGACTGACGGTGGTTCCGTACAGTCTCGGGTCTGTTGGCAGCCGTGGAATGGTTGCTGGTGGTGTTTCCATACAGCCTGGGGGTCCTGCTGCCCACTGAGCTGCCCTGCTATTTCCTGTCCCTGGCCACTCGGCCTCCAGTGCTCAGAGGGAGAGCGCTGTCGCAAGTGTCTGCACCCAAAGCCCGAACCCCATGAGCTGGCCCCTCCAGTAGCCCGCAGGTGGAATGTGTGGGGACGCCTTGTGGGGGTGCCCTCGGATGCACATGGGGCCCCTGGGAGGCAGCAGAGCAGAGACCCTGTCCGAGGTGGCTGAGGCCCCCTGGGGGCTGGTACGGGCGGACTGGCCTCACCTCGTCACATGCCCTTGGGGGCCCCTGCTTCCTCCTGCAGTGCTCCTGCCTCTGCTCGAGTACTGCAGCGTGCGGCCCGATGCCGCTGTCGCCACGCACCGCTTCTTTGGCCCGGAGGCCGAGATCAGGTAAAGACAGGACAGTGCCTGCCCACAGGTGGGTTGTGGGGGTGCCCCTGGGAGCAGAGCCCGGGACCGTTTTCACTCAGACCGGAGGCTCATGAAGCCGGCCATCACTGCTCTCTCCCGCCCCAGGGAGAGTCCTGCCAGGTGCTCACTGCGGGGAACCTTGGCGGCCAGACCGTTCTCCCACCGTGGAGGGCTGGACGCAACGCCGGCCAGCATGTGGGCCACATGCAGCCCCAAGCACGAGCCTGCCTGCTGAGAAGCGGGCAGGGTGTGGGGCCCAATGCGCCAGCCCTGCTGGGTGGGGTTGGTAACCCTACGGGTGTTAGTGTAGTCACACAGCTGTATGTGCACCAACTGTCTTTCCCAAATGTCTCATGAAAAAAAAAGGAAAACGTGCACCGTGGGAGCCGTGGTCTGAGGCCATCCTCAGACCCTGTTAGTAAACCAGCACAGTTCCTCCAGCATCTCTGCCTATGCAGACCTACACATGCCCTTTCTGTTTGGCAATTCTATTAAAGACCTTGTTCTTACTAAAAAGTACACACTTGGTGGAAGCAGATGCCTGTGTATCCCCACGGCTGGGCAGCGGCCTGTCCCAGCTCAGCAGCCCTTCTGTTTCGCCCCCAGGCTGCTGGATGGGCCCCTGTGCTTCCCCCCAGGGGCTGGTGGGTGTGTGGAGTCCATGCCCTGGCGGGCCCAGCTCACGAGCCCCCGTCTCCCACAGCCAGCCCCCCCGCCCTAAGCCAGCTGGTGAGCCTATACCTTGGAAGGTCACACTTCCTCTGGAAGGAGCCTGCCACCGTGAGCTGGCTGGAGGAGAACGTCCGGGAGGTTCTGCAGGCGGTGGACTCTGGGGACCCTGCGGTGGGAGCGTGTGAGAGCAGGTGGGCTGGGGGCCGGTGGGGGCGAGGGCAGCACCCGGCCTGGTGGGTGGTAAAGCCCTGTGCTCGGGGTGGTGGTCACAGGGTGGCCGTGGGGCCAGGGCGGGCTCTGTGCCACATGCCTATGCCTCTTCCCCCCGGGCCTCAGGCGGAAGGTGCTCTACCAGCGGGCGCCCAGGAACATCCACCGGCATGTGGTCCTGTCCGAGGTCAAGGAGGCTGTTGCTGCCCTCCCCCCGGTAAGGGAGAGGGCCTGGAAATGGGGGCTTTGTCGCCTGCGGGCCCCTTCCCTCACAGCTGGGGTTTTGAGAGGGGGGCTGCTCCTGGCCAGCTGACCTCCCAGGGCTCAGAACGGGGGCCCTGGGGTGCTCTGGTGAGAGATCCTGGCACAGGGAGCGTGGCTTTCTGCTCCTCCCCTGCTGCGCGGGCCCTTTGGCCGACAAGCATCGTTGGCCATCTGAGTGGGGCAGAGTGCCTGTCTGGGTGGAAGCAAGGCTGTCCCCACCCTTCACCCGGCGTCCAGCAGACGCAGCCGCGCAGCCAAGGACCGATTCTGTTCGGCTGACGGATTTCTCGTGGAGAGGCTGGTCCAGGCTGGAATCAGCTGGAAGTCTACTGGGGGCACGACCGGGCTTCACCGTGGGTCTGCTTCCCTTTCTGAAGGATGTGACCACACAGTCTGTGATGGGCTTCGACCCTCTGCCTCCTTTGGACACGATCTACTCCTACGTCAGACCCGAGAGGTACCTCTCCGCCTCCTGCTTTGCTCCTTTGCTTGTGTAGCTCTGAGGTCAGTGCTTTCGGCTCCCTGGGGCTCCCTGCTTCCTCCAGACCCAGGCCCCCGAGGACAGGGTGATGCGGGGTTGTAGGTCCACTTTTGCCAGCCATGTCCTTTTACTTGCTTGTCTGACGAAGGAGCGTTTTCCCATGGGGTTCTAGAGCAGGTGTCAGACGTAACAGTGGGAAGCTGGAGAAACATACTAGCTGCGCCCTTGTGGCCTACGCGGCGCCATGGAGCCGTGTTACGTGCGGAACCTAGCAAGCAGTGTAATATCAAAGCCACAGCCCGAGTCTGCCGGTGCTTGGGGCCCTGCGGACTGAGAAGGGCCCGTGTGGCCCAGCCCAGGAGAGCCGCAGTGGAGCGGGACGGCGCTTCGCCTTGGATCATGGAAAGCTGCCTTCTGCTTTCCTTGTGGCCTTCCAGGCTGAGTGGTGGCCTTACCACAGACTGTCAGCACAACCTGTAGCTCTGGAAGTCCCAGGCAGGTTTTCCCATTCCAGAACGCGTGCCCTCTCCAGGCTTCAGTTGAGCACGTTATGTAGAATAAAAAGCTTTTTCTTAACTGAATTAGGTTCTAAAAGTTGGACTGCGTGCTTCTAGGGAAAGAGTGCCCACTTTAATTCTTAGATCAGTCAAGGTGACACTTACACATTTCTAATGTTGGTGGGTTCAGAGAGCTGCCTTGCTGGACAGTGTAGCCCTGAGGAGTGCTTGAAGGGCTGGGCCAGTCCAAGGCCACCAGTCCTCACATGGCCAGTGGAGCCCTCACATGGGCTCCAGCGCCATGTCTTACCAGGAGGGCACTCCCCAGCACACTCTGGCACCTTCTCCTCCCGTGACCACTTTGTAGCCCCTGCATGGCTTTTCTCAAAAACGAGCCACTGAGCCGCGGCGGGTGACCCTCTGCTCTCTGCTGAACTAGCTAGCCAGGTCCCCAAGGGCTCGCCCCCTCTGGGTGACCTTCCCTGGGAGGCCTGAGCTTGTGCCCCAGCTGCTGTGCTGGCTGCCTCGGTGCACCCCGCCCCCAGCCCCAGGGCCGGGCGCACAGCTGCACCATCTGACCAACCTTCCTCCTCTTTCAGGCTGAGTCCCGTCAGCCATGGAAACACAATCGCCCTCTTCTTCCGGTCTTTGTTGCCTAATTATACCATGGAGGTATGTGAGCACGTTTCGGCCTCTCTCTGCCACGTGGGTTCAGGCCGGGCCGCGGGCATCCGCAGCCCGCTCAGGAGGCCGGGACAAGCCTGCCTGAAACCGTTGCGGCCACCTCAGCCCCTCCCCCAGGCATGGCTCCTGGACCTCGCACTGGGGCCTGGCCTTGAGTTTGGGTTTGAAGCTTCCTCTTCCCAACAGGGTCCTGGGGGAGCTGGGGTGGGAGCACTGGGCCTCAGGACCCAGGACAGCCCCCCAGCTCAGACGAGTCTCACTGCTGCAGGGGGAGCGGCTGGAGGACGGAGGGGCTGGGGGTCCGAACCACAACCAAGGCTTGAACAGGCTGATGCTGGCCGTGCGAGACATGATGGCCAACTTCCACTTCCACGACGTGGAGGCAGCTCGCGAGGACAACCCCGAGGGGGACGGGGAGTGGGACTGAGCCCGCAGAGATGCCGTGCCCCAACGCTGTACAATTATGTTCCTGATTGCTGTTCTGGGCGGAATTGGCCAGTTCCCTGGAGTAGAGATGCTGATGTGTCGTCCGCCTGCCTCCTGTGTCGTCTATAAATGGGAATGGGTCGCGCTCCGGCAGCACGGGCTCTTCTTTCCTGGGGCTGGACTCTGGGCCTAGTGTGAGGCAGGTGGGTCTTGGGTCCGCCCAGCCCCCAAGGTGTCCCAGCAGAGAACATGACCCAGGGTCACATGCAGCCAAGCCCCAGCCCCATGTGAGCTCTCTCCGTGGTCACCCTGCCCTCACAGTCTGGGCCAGCCACAGCGTGGAGAAGGTCCCACAGGTTTCCATTGCGACATCCCAGTTGAGAACACCAAGATGTTTGCCTCGCTCGGGAGCCTGGACAGGCTGGCCAGAGGCTGGAGAGGCTGACACCGGAGCCCTAGGGCTGGGCGCCACTGAGGCAGAGTCACAGTGGCTTTATTGGGGAACTTCAGGGAAGCCCTGGGCTGGAGGGAGGCTGAGAGGTGGACCTTGGGAAGGATGTCCTGGTGGCTCTGGAGATTGTACATGGCAGGGATTAGGGGGCCTCTGATGGGGGGGGGGGGCAGGGAACAGAGCAGGGGGGAGGGGTCATCACCTGGGGCAAGTCCTGGCCCGCCTGCCACTCAGCACCACACAGAGCTGCTTGGAGCTCAGGAGCCAGATGGGTTGTGGAAGGGTCAAGGACACCGAGGTCGTGAGCTGCCAGTCTACCAGGCACCCTCCTGGCCCTGACCTCCACCCCATCGGGTGTGCTGCTCGCTCGTTCTGGGCCAGGATCCGTGTGGGCTGAGCCTGCCGGGAAGTCCCCCACAGTGTGTAGACATGGTTGTGCAGTCAACTGTTGGCGGTGGCGGAGGGGTGGTTTGTGTTTTGTGAGCTTGTCCTGTCAGAAGTTCCCAGCCGGAGACTCCCTACAATTGGGGGTCAGCAATGAAAGTCTCTGCCGTGAATACCTGTGACAAGGACGGTGCCCTGCACCCATGCTGGTGTCTGTCAGTTACTACCCAGACTTTAGTCCTTGTCTCTGTACCTGGATTTGGTGAGTGGGATCGAGGAGGACCGACATAATCCCAGGCTGTCCTAGATCCACATTTGTCCCACGAGGGTGCCCTGCGGTAAGCTTCAGCCAGCAGGACGAGGGTCTGCTGGGCTCCTCCAGGAAGGGGTCTGTCCTCTGATGGAGACAGGCAAGCAAGGTGAGCTTGACACCCAGCCTCTCCTTAAGCACACCCTCATGGGGACGTATGTCCGGAGTCGCAGCAGCCCTTTTACGACTGGGAGTTGGTGACCTTCAGAGCAGAGCCAGTGTCCTAGAGAGAGTACAGCAGAGAGAGGCTGGGCCAGGCCGTGGTGAGACTGCTTGCTTCTAGGCCTGCTGCCCCGAGAGGTGATCACGTCATCAATACTCAGCCAGACTGCTCAGGTTTAGGTCATTACTTGCAGCTCGTTTCCATGGAGATGGCCAGACAGCCAGCGCTTTCACATGGGAGCATCCGCTCTAAAGGCTTGCCCTGCCCCCCAGGGTCCAGGCAGGGGTGAATGAGCTCGTCCCAGGCCTGCTGCCCGTGGACAGAGTGCTGACGGGTTATGCTCTCTCCCGTGAAGTTAGACCCTACCCCAGGGTCTTTAGCGCAGACACCACAGGGTGAGCACACAGGGTGTTGGCCTCCCCGAGTTCAGAGCAGCCCCTGTGATCCAGCTCTGGGCCAGGCCTTGTTGAGATCCCATCCTGCCAAGAGCCAGGAGGAGCCGTGTGGTTGCTCCTGGGACTCTGTCTCCTGGCTGGCCCTCAGGGAGCTCCGTGAAGGAAGCAGGGCCTGGGCTCTCCGGTCAGGCACTAACCCCCACCCGCTGGTGTGGCCATGGCTAGACACTGCTCTCTCACTGGACTCCAGCTGCCCCATGAAGCTCGTTTACGCATTGAGACCTTGCATTATGCAGGCCTGGTGTGTGCCAAGCATTGTCCTTGGCGCTCCTGTTCTCAGACTCCTCATGTATGGGTCTCTGCTTGGACAGTTGTGGCCAGTCCTTACCTCCCAGGGGCATGAGATCAAGTTATCATTGGCCTTAAGATTATCTGGGATTTCATGCAGACATTTCCCTCATAACCGTAACTAATCACAAAGTTGAGAGTCTCCCTCCCGTGAAGTCCCCATCGGGCACATCAGAACCAGATGGGGAGTCTCGAGGCCTCAGCAGGAAGACTGGTTGCTGGCCAGAGGCTGTCCAGTTCTCAGGCTCTTTGAAGTCTCCAGCAGGGGCTACGGGTGGGGGAAGCATGTCCATCTCAAAGGCCTCATTTATGGAGCTGAAGATACCACGTCCTGGCAGTGTGCGGACACAGAATCGGGGGGGCCCTAGCAGACTGCCCCCAGAGGTGGAAGGTGGTCAGGAAGGTGGGCCTTGGTGATGGACAGCTGCGGTGTGAATCCTGGGACCCATGTGGCAGGGACCCAGCTGGACTTCATGGCAGTGGTGCCTACACAGCCCCTCACTGCTGCTGGGACCACCGCCCCTGACTGGCACCCCTCCCCCGCCCGTGGTCCTGGGAACCTCTGCTCCCTTTGGGGTTCTCCATCAGGAGGAGAGAATGGGAGGGGTGAAGTCCACAGAGGGCAAGGAGCTTGGTGTGTGGGGCCCATCCTGTGCCTGCTGCCTGTGGGGTGTGGGGCTGTCTTCTGTTCTCCGTGGGGAGATGGGCTGGGGTCTTCATGCTCTGCCAGCAACAGGCCAGCAGGTCCACATTCCTACATGCTGCCCTGTGTAAGCGGGGGGCCTATGTCCACCAAAGATGGGACCAGAACAGACAGAAGACGCCCAGTGGGGTCTGTGCACCAAAGACCACTCCACACAGCCACGAGGATGTCACGGAGGGGCCCCCGGGGCAGGCGGACCCCCAAGCTGTTTGGGGGCAATTAACGTTTTCTGGATGGGTCTGGGTGTTGCTTTCCTGGCCGTGTTTAGGTTGGGGCACCCACGAACCTGCATATTTACAGTTAATGTACTCCGATGTGTGATGTTCTTCAGCGAGAAGCACAAGGGGAGGGACAGCTTTTTGTCTGTGGGGTGATGCAGATGTAAGCGATGATTAATGTTCGTGAGTGGGCTGCCTGGCCCTGGGGGTGGGGGGGGTAGTGTGCTTGAACAGGAATGTCATAGGGAGCCCACCCTCCCAGCCCTGCCATCACCACTTAGCCAAGCCCTGACCTCCTTCCTTGTTGCCTCAAGTGGTCTCCCCCTTCCACAAACCGTCTGGTTCCCCCTCCCACTTCCGCTCTTCAGTGGAGGAACTCCAGTCTGCAGTGAGAAAGTGCTAGGAGCGCCCTGGAGTGAGGCCAGAGCAGGTGCCCACAGGCCCTCTGGGCTGTGCACCCCGTGGCTGCCTTTGAAGTGGTTTCTCTGCAGAGGAAGTGGGGGCTGTTGGTCACTGGGGCTGGCAGCTCTGTCCCTGCCCCTCCCCCGTGCGAGGAGGAAGAGCAAGAGCCTCCCTCAGGGCTCCAGGAACTGGAGTCCTAGGTGGGAGTCCTAGGGGGTAGGGGCTGCCCTGAGTAAGCATCTCACATGGGGTAGGGAGTTAGGGCTTCCGGCGGGGGGGGTGGGTGGTCGACAGCCAATGACTGTTCCCAAGGCACACTGGCATTGGGTGGGTGGCCAGAGATCAGAGATGGCTCCAGGAGGCGGTGGAGTTTGCAGGGGACCTGGAGCAGATGTAGAGGAGGCCCCTGGGAGTGGCACAGGGCTGGGAGTACTAGTGGGCGGAGCACAGGTGAGAGGGGAGACGTGCCCCAGAGCCCCAGTCTTCGGTGTCACCCTGGCTGCCACTGGTGCTGCAGGGAGGATGCTGAGCGTGGGTGCTCTCCGACTGTGGATCCAGGGTGCATGCCCGTCATGTGGCCACCCTCAGGGGGAGGGGCTCCAGGGACTTGAAAGATGTGCAGAAAGGGTTCATTCTTTCTGGGACCTCAGCCCACCCCAGGCCTGGAGGAGCAGGAGGCCTGGCCAGCCGCAAGACAGCAAGCCGCCCGGAAACGTATGTCTGGACCTGAGGAACGGTACCTCCACAGAGGAGGTAGGGAGGGGGGCTGAGGGTCTGGAGTCCAGAGAGACTAGAAGCTGGGTCTCTGAGGGCTTGGGGTCCTGGCTGGGGAGCGAGCACTCTGGTGGGAAGCTGGGGTCTCTTCAGCGGGGTCATGGCCGAGTGGACGTGGGTACAGACAGGGAGAGGGTGAGTGTGAGGGCGGTCTGGGGGGACACGAGCCCTGCTGGTGCGGCGAGGAGCTGAGCGGGACGCCTGTGAGTGAGGACCCCTTTCTGCTCCCCAGTGGGACTATGTCTGTGCAGAGCCCCCAGAGGAGGCTGCTAGGCTCCCTTAACTCCATACCCCCAGCCACCCCTCCGCTGAGGCCGCCTACCAACCAGACGGGGCCCCAGTGCCTGGAGGTGTCCGTTCCCGACGGGCTCTTCCTCAGCCTGGGGCTGGTGAGTGTGCTGGAGAACGTGCTGGTGGTGGCCACCATCGCCAAGAACCGCAACCTACACTCGCCCATGTATTACTTCATCTGCTGCCTGGCCGTGTCCGACCTGCTGGTGAGCGTGAGCAACGTGCTGGAGATGGCTGTGCTGCTGCTGCTGGAGGCGGGCGCCCTGGCCGCCCGGGCCACCGTGGTGCAGCAGCTGGACGACGCCATTGATGTGCTCGTGTGCGGCGCCATGGTGTCCAGCCTCTGCTTCCTGGGCGCCATCGCTGTGGACCGCTACATCTCCATCTTCTACGCACTACGCTACCACAGCATCGTCACGCTGGCCCGCGCCTGGCGCGCCATCTCCGCCATCTGGCTGGCCAGCATCCTCTCTGGCGCGCTCTTCATCGCCTACGACAACCACGTGGCTGTGCTGCTTTGCCTCGTCAGCTTCCTCGTGGCCATGCTGGTGCTCATGGTGGGGCTGTACGTGCACATGCTAGCCCGGGCCTGTCAGCACGCCCGCCTCATCGCTCGGCTGCACAAGAGGCAGCGCCCTGCCCGCCAGGGCTTCAGCCTCAAGGGCACCGCCACGCTCACTGTCCTGCTGGGCATCTTCTTCCTCTGCTGGGGCCCCTTCTTCCTGCACCTCTCCCTCATGGTCCTCTGCCCTCAACACCCCGTCTGTGGCTGCGTCTTCAAGAACTTCAACCTCTTCCTCACCCTCATCATCTGCAACTCCATCGTCGATCCCCTCATCTATGCCTTCCGCAGTCAGGAGCTCCGAAAGACATTGCAGGAGGTGGTGCTGTGCTCCCGGTGAGGCTGCGGGCTGGCCGCGCTGCTGGGCAGAGGGCAGTGGCTAGGTCCCATGGCCTGTGTGAGCCTGAAGGGGCAGAAGAGATGATTTCCAGGGGTGTGGCTGCACGGACCCTCTGGGGCCCGAGAAAGGAAGGCACGCCAGGCTCCAGGAGTGGCTGTGGACAGTGGAGGAGGCTGGAGACATGGTGGGGCCGCAGGCACCGGAGGCGGATCTCCGGCTTCTGGACTCATCTCTGCTGACTCTGGAAGTACTCCACCTCCACCCAGGGACCAGGCAAGCTCTGCACACTCACCTCTGCTGCCCCTGCCTGCTGGGACGTGAAGCGTCTGTGATGGGTGCTGGACGAGCACTCGTCCCCAGGAGAGCCTCCACAAGAGGGGCTTCCCGACCGGCAAGAACTGGCCACACAGGACTGCTCCAGGAAGCAGGGAGCTCCTGTTTGAGGCCGAGGGACCGTGTCTACAGTGGAGGGGGTGCTGATTTAAGGCTCAGTGGTGACCAGAGAGCTGGGGGCCCATCCGTGTCTGCTGCCTGTCCCCAGTGGACCGGGCCAGCCAACACCTGCTCTGGCCAGGGCAGAGGCTGTCGGCCTGAGTCAGAGACCAGTGTGTAGGGTCTCAGGGAAGCAGTCTGGTAATAAATGCTGTGCTTGGTGCAGACTCATGGCCCCCTGCCTTGCCTCTTTCCAGAAAGTGCTTGAAGCCGGAGTGAGGAGGAAGGGGGAGAGGCAGGGTGGGGTTGAGGGTGATGGTCAGGGAGAAGTGAATCCCAGAAACCAGCCAGACACCATGGCAGGCCTGCCCAGGTGAAGAGGCCACAGCCCCCAAGGACCCAGGGTGCTTGAGGCCTAACCAAGGGGAGAGTGTGGGGGCCCCAATCACACCCACCCTGGGCCTGGGTCTCAACTTTCTCTCCATGGTGGAAACCCCAGCTCAGAGCAACTACAGTGAGAAACAGCAGCTGCCCTGGCCCAGTCACCTCCATGGGGACCCGACTCAGCACCAGGACCGTCCAGGCTGCCCTCAGTTGCAGCAGGAGCACGACCACCGTAACCCATGTGTGACCTCAACCTGAGCTCACCCCTCTCACACCCAGTCCTGCCACCCCTCCTCCATGTCTGCCCACAGTTTAGAGTGTGCTGGGGGTTGGGGTCTACTCTCCCCCTGGATAGCCCCTGGGGAAGTATTTGAGACAAGGCCTCCCAGAGTGGGGTGAGGCTGTCCAGGGACGGTCCGAGTCCAAGTCCCGAAGGGAATGGCCATCTGGGGTGAGTACTGGTATTGGCAGCCCTTGGGTCCTTCCTGTTGCGAACCTGGGATTCTCACTGGAGAGCCCACCTGGTTTCCTCCACAGGTACTGAGCCTACAGCTGACCCCCTTCCTGATGCAGGTTCGGCGGTGGCAAGGGTGATGGTATCAGCCAATTTGAAGGCAGGGCTGGTAATGCCTCAAGCCTTTGGCACCACTGGCAGCCACCCCCACTCTGCCCCAGCCAGGCCCCACCCCTGCTGGTAGCTTTAGCCCAAACTGCTGGCCTTGAGACCAGGCGCTGGTTCCCGGCAGGGCCAGCCTTTGCTGGGAGACAAGATAGTGAGTCAGCCTTGAACCTGGCACCAGAGCCCTCTGGGGATGGAGAGAGGGGTGGCCTGGCCCGACGCCATCACGCAGACGGGGCATGTGGGTAATGGGGCTTGGCCAACAGGGTGCTGCAAAGGTTCTTCCTTTGCTTGGATGGGGAGGCGCAGCCTTCGGGGAAGAGCCAAATGCTTACCAAGGACCCCTGAGCGGGGGACAGGGAGGGGCCCCAGGCAGCCGGAAGCCAACCACAGAAAGCCGCATCATGGACACGTTGTGGGGGAGGGGTGTCTCTTGAGAACAAAAGACCCATTTCTAGACTAGTCGAACTGGAGAGCTCAGGGTGGGGGGGGAAAGGGGCTTATGCACAGCCACACCCTGTCAATGCACTCCTGAGCGCAGCCTAGACACAGGCACACCACAGGCCTGTCCAGCCGACTGCTTGTGGGACCTCCATGCGCTGTGACCGGACCCTCTCTGGAAGGTTCTGATACTGAAATATCAGAAGGACCTTATTATAAGGTGGTTTCACTACAGCGTCTGACCCCGGTAGAATATTAAGCCAGTGGTGTGGTGCATGTGTAAGGTAATGTCTGTACTGTGAGTCTAGTTCATACCCTCCTTTCTCTTCTGACCAGTGGGCCCTCCTCCCCCCGTTCCCCGTCCCAGGAATCCCCCATCTCGCCTTATGCACACTGTCTCACTACTTAGCCTCTATCACCCTGTTGTGTTGGCCTCACTTGGACCAAGAGTCCAGGAGTCCAGGTGACACCACGGCATGAATCAGACAGAAATCACTACTCACCATTCCCCACCCTGTCAGTCCCTTGCCTGGCTGGTGTCCTTTGGATAATTCCTGACAGCAGTACTCACTGAGCAGCAGCTCCATACCAGGCACTGTGCCTAGCAGGGGCACAAAGCAGCCCCACGGACCAGGTCCATTTGCAATCTCATGGCAGATCCCCGAGAGGGGAGGGGCAGGTGGCATTCCCCACTGCAGAGAAGGGCCTCGAAGCTCAGAGCCGCCATTGTAACCCACCATCCTTCTGACACGGCGTTTCTGAGCCCTGCCCCATGCTTTCTTCTGGAGCGTTCAGTGCCTGCTGCAGCCTTTTCCTGCCTCCCCCACCCCTAAGGGGTCCAGCAGAGCTCAAAGTCCCTTGTTTGTCCCTTCATACCACAAGACAGGGTGCCGGGAGGCGTCCTTCTCGCTCTTTGGGGTGGGAACCTGGGGTTGGTCCCTGGACGGGTGTGGGGAAGAAAGACCGTCTTTGCAAAGCCCTGGGTTGTGGCTGCCGCAGCGGTAGGACCCGAGAAGGCAGCCTGGGCGGGGTCCGAGAGCCAAGAGGGGCTTCTATTGTCCTCCCTGGAGCCCGCCAGCCCCTCCCTTCAGTGTGCGGGGGGGCCCCCGGACTCCCGCCCCCGCCCCCCGCTGGCCCCCAGACCCCGGTGGCGGCGGGCGGAGACGGCGGGCGGAGCGCCGCAGCGCACCGCCGAGCCGAGCCGAACCGGGATGCGCGGTGCTGATGCTGCAGGGCCCGTGCGGCATTCTGCGGCGGCGTCCCCCGATTGGCCGCGCGCGGTGACGCCAGGCCGGCGCTGCGGGCGGGGCCCAGCCTATAAGAGCGGGCGGCGGGGGCGGCCGACCCTCCGCAGCCAGCCCCGGCCCGTCCGCGCGTGTCCCGCAGCCGCCCGCCACACGCACCGAGCATGAGGGAGATCGTGCACATCCAGGCCGGCCAGTGCGGCAACCAGATCGGGGCCAAGGTGAGGACGCGCGCCGCCCCCCCACCCCCGGCCCCAGCCCCAGGCTCCCGGCCCGGACCCCTGCGCGCAGCCCGCCTCCCCACCCAGAGCCCGGGCCCCCGAGGGAGGGAAGCAGGGAGGCGCCGCACCCCAAGCCGCGCTTGCGACTGCGAAGCCAGGAACAAAGGGACGAGTCGGGCCCGGCGGCCGGGGCACCGGGATCCCTGCCCTGCCACGTCCACACAGTCTTCTTTCTGGCCCTGCCCGGGTTATCTCAGGCCTGCGGGAGCGCAGCGCATGTCTACGGCTGAGCTCCATCCACAGCGGCTGCCGCTGCGGGGACGGCCTGGGCGTGGCCCCTTTCTTTGGGGTCGCAATTCAGCCTCGAGCGAGATGGGTGGGGTGGGCATGTTTGGGTGGGACGTCCCCTTCAAAGCCGAAAAATGATTCTGTCTGCCGTGCTCCTGCTCTCCCCAGGAACAGGATGTCCTCCAAGCGGCCAAAGCCGCCCCCATGCCCCCACCCTCGCTGCCACCCTCCTCAGCTTCCTGACCCCACCCTATTCCTTTGTTGGAGGAGGGGTTGGGGCCAGACTCGGGGTGACCTTGGTCCAGAAGTGGACTCTCCCTCAGCTCAGCCAAGCCTGGGCAAAAACCTCCGCCGGGTTTGGACAGCACCCGCCCAGGGACTGTGGAGTCTGGAGGTGGGACGTAGGAACAAAGCCCCGCTCCTGGGATGGACAGCGGCATCACCACCGGGCTCCTCCCCTCCATTGTTAGTCCACCTCGCAGATGTGGGAAGAGGAGGTGGTACAATCCTCACTGGAACCTAGGAGACAGGTGTCACGTCCCCAAATTCAGGCAGACTGTCCCTTGCCCAAGGTCACACAGCCAGTGCGAGAGAGAGCCACGCCACCCTCAGACATCCAGCCCTGGGCTCAGGCTAGGTGGGTGGGGCCTGCTGCCCACGGGGCACCCCGCAGAACAAAACAAGGGAATGGGGGTGGCTTTGTCAGGACCAAGGCCAGGGACGCAGGGTGGGAGTGGTGCAGGGCGTGTTTCCCAAAGGAGGCAGTGGGAGGAGCCAGGACTTGAAGGGGAAGGGGCCTCGGAAGGGGCTCCTCTGGAGGCTGTTGCTATGGAAACCAGGAAAGAACAAAAAGCTAATTACAACCGGGATGGGGCAGCCTCGTGGCTGACATGTAAATTGCAACTTCTTGTGTAGGGTGGAGGCCACTTGGATGGGGGGGGGGGCACCGAGGAGACTCCCTAATCCCCCGAAGAAACAGCTGTGCCTGCCTCCAGGAAGGGAGCTGGGAGAGGGGGAAGCCTGGGGGATGGTGGTCTCAAATCAAATCAGGACTCCTGGGGCAGTCACTGACAGCTGCCCTGGCCAGGTGGGAGGGGTGGAGGGCTCATTAATGTGGCCACAGGGGCCAGGCCTGCCCTGAACATCTGCTCCTTGGAGGGCCAGGGGTCACTGGGGGGAGGGCGGGCATCCCTGAGTTCTGCCTGAGCCTGGGGGAGTGGTGATCTGGTTATACACCATTCCTCTGTATGGCTGGGACAGATGCACACCAACCAAAGGCAAGTCCACACCTGGAGCTGTAACTGGGGTGGGGGGAGGGCACGGGGGGGGGCGGGGGGGGGGGGAGGAGGGCAGTCAGTAGCCTGAGTGCTGGACAAGTGTCCTTAGCTGAGATTTTTTCCTACTTCTTAGAGGTGTGGCCTCCTGGGTTTGCTCATTATTTTTTATTCTTTTTGGGTTGATTTTCTTACTTTATGTTGTTTTAAAAAATTAGTATCTGGTCCTTTCTAACAATTCAAACCAGAGAGAGATGGATTTTGTGGGGAGAGGAATTGTTTCTTTCTTTTCACCACTGCCTTTTTTGGTGACCAGTGACAGCAGTTGAGCTGTTTCCTTCTGGCCTCCTTGTCCTCTGAAGTCTCCAGAGACCAAACTCAAAAAGTTCTCCAAGCCCCTGTGCCAGGCCCCATGTAGGTAACTTGCGGGCCCAGCAGATGCTGCCATCTGCCCTGTGAACAGGTTGTTCATTGACCATTTCTGTTTTCTGATCCCATCGTGGCTGTGGACTCCCTGGTGAGGGGAGCGGGCAAACTTTTCCTCTCAGCACCAGCTGCAGCTGATGGGTGGGCGGGGCCGCTGCGAGCCTGGCTCAGCCCAGCCCCCGCTCTAGGGAGGGGCCTGGCTTTGGGGGATGGAGAGAGGTCAGGGCGACTGGGGCCAGGAGAGAGGTCACCTCTCCTGAGCGGTAGCTTGCCGGCATTACGCTCATGACAATGGACCTCTGAGTATCGAGCATGGTGCCTGGTGTTCAGACCCATCACCTCACTGAGATCCGGTGACATAGGGGATCGCCCTTCCCCCATGGGTTGCTCCGGGAAGCTGAGGCACCGCCCAGGAGGGATAGGGCAGGGCTGGACTCTAGGTCTGCGCGGATCCATTAGGATGGGCGGGGACTCCCCCCCCAACACCCACACCGCCCCCACACAACAGGCGGATGAATCCCGGGACCTCATCCTTCTCTAGGGTGCAGGGCCATCCCGGAGCCTTTTGTCTGGGCCCGGTTCTCTCGGCCGCTGGGCGGAGCCTCGGGAGGGCGGGCCCTGGCTCTGACCGCCAATAGGGGGAGGGATTTCCTGGTTTCCTTGAACCGGCCTCCTAAATGGGTCAGTGTTAGCGCTCGCGGTGCTCGGGCCCGGGAGAGGCTTCGAGATCCTGGAAGGGTCTGACGCCTGCCGGTGAATCTGCAAGCCCTCCCCCGCGGAGCCGCTGCCCCCCGCTTGCCCTGGCCGACGCCTCCCCGGTCCCAGAGCGAGGACGCGGCAAAGGATCAGCACCACGGACAGCGCCAAGGGCGCGGCGCGACGGGCGTTTCACCTAGCAGCCCAGGTCCCCGCGCCATGTGGCAGTTTTCTCAACTGTAGTGATGGTCATGATTATTTCTTACTTAATTTACAAAATTGTATTTTGTTATTGATTAAATATTACATAATATTTTTACTAATACGATACTTATTTTAAATCACATTTTTGTTAGTTTTAACCTCAAAAACAATATATTCTTCTAAAAAGTTGAAACATTGCAGATAAAGCCAAAGTGCCCATTTAGCCACCTCATAGGTCCTGCTCTCCTGGGGGGACAATTTTGTTTTCCATTCTTCCAGCCTGTTTTCTGTGCATGTTCACCTATGTATATCTTTGTAGAAAAACAGCATCTTTTTGAGGGTCCCTTTTTTACTTTATCATTATGCAATGTGCCTTTCCCTTAAGGGTGTGTCTCGGAGATGTGTTCCTATCAGTGATGATGTTTTACTGCACCACAGTGTGCCAAAATATATTGATTTTTTTTTAGTATATTGGCTTTTTATTTTTATTTTTATTTTTTTTAAAGGTTTTATTTATTTATTTGACAGACAGAGATCACCAAATAGGCAGAGAGGCAGGCAGAGGGAGATGGGGAGGAAGCAGGCTCCCCGCTGAGCAGAGAGCCCCATGCGGGGCTCGATCCAAGCACCCCGGGATCATGACCTGAGCTGAGGGCAGAAATTTAACCCACTGAGCCACCCAGGCACCCCAGTATATTGGCTTTTTAAAACTTTCATTTTTATTTGCTATCTGTGCATATGGCGTTACAGATTTAAATAGCATCTAACCTTCTAACTCAATGAAGCCACCATTTGCTGAATGCATCAGGCCTTGTGCTGACCCCTTAATGTGGGTACTATTATTATGTCCACTTTACAGATGGGAAAACTGAGGTCCCAGGAGAGGGAGCCAGTGGTCCACCCTGATGGTGCTGGGTTCTGGCCCATCACCTCCTGGAAGACCATGATTTCCAGAGATGCATTTCCGATAACTCTCTGCAGATGTACTGGCGGGACGATGCCCAGCTGTCTCCCTCCCGGTCCTCTGCAAGGGCTGTGGTGTCCCCGAAACCAGAAGTCTGGGGTGTCTCAGAGCTCTGGGGACCAAGGCTCTGGCTCCTGCCTTCATGCAGGCCTCGGGCTGAGGGGGGCCAAGGAGATCCACACAGTGGTCAGCAGCTCGGATCAGGCCCCAAAGGCCTCAGTGACATTTTTGTGTGTGGGTTTTTTTTTCCTGATTACAAAATTTTTTAAATTATTTTTAAGATTTTATTTCTTTATTTGACAGACAGAGATCACAAGTAGGCAGAGAGGCAGGCCGGGGAGGGGTGGGGGAGGACAGGCCCCCTGCTGAGCAGAGAGCCCGATATGGGGCTTGATCCCAGAACCCTGGGATCATGACCTGAGCTGAAGGCAGAGGCTTTAACCCACTGAGCCACCCAGGCACCCCTCTAATTACAAAATTAACACGCACAATGTAAAAAGAACAGTTAACGATGACAAAATGGGGAGTAAATCCAGCCCTCCCCTCGCTGAGGGACAACCTCTGGTAACAGCCTCTCTGGATGAACACCAAGACTTTCCTGCATGTTTTATAATAATGGTAACACTGTCTGTGATTATCAGAATTTAATAATTTATTTATTTTTAAAAAATATTTCTTATTTATTCATTTGAAAGAGAGAGCACGAACGAGAGCACTAGCAGGCGGAAAGTTCAGAGACAGAGGGAGAAGCAGACTCCCCAATGAGCAGGGAGCCCAACGAGGGGCTCAATCCCAGGACCCTGGGATCAGGACCAGAGCCGAAGGCAGACACTTAAGTGACTGAATCACCCAGGCGTCCCTAATTATCAGAGTTTTAAAAAATATTTTCCGGGGCACCTGGGTGGCTCAGTGGGTTAAAGCCTCTGCCTTCGGCTCAGGTCCTGATCCCAGGGTCCTGGGATCGAGCCCCACATCGGGCTCTCTGCTCAGCAGGGAGCCTGCTTCCTCCTCTCTCTCTGCCTGCCTCTCTGCCGACTTGTGATCTCTGTCTGCCAAATAAATACATAAAATCTTTTAAAAAAATATTTCTAACTAATCTTTTGTTGTTAGAAACTAACATGGGACAATTCCAAAAGAGCCAGAGGATATATAGTGAGAAGAACTTTCCCCTAACCCAGACCACATTCCAGGCCCAGTTCCCTGGAGCAGATACCTCTGGGCCTGTTAGACGTCTGTGTGGAGGTAAACATGTGCAGACTGGTTTCTAACTGCAGGTCTCACTGAGCTGTCTTTTATGGGCACGTGAGTCCCATGTAAGGGTCTGTGACCTCTCCAGGCCTTCATACCATACACCTTCTGAAAGTCACTCCAACCCTGAGGAGCAAAGGGGAGGGGCCCTGGGAAGTCACACGTGTATGACTAATGACCCTCTCTGCGTTTGCCCACCGTGTTCCACATGGCTTGGAAAGGTCTTTGAGGTGAGGGCCAAGCTCTGTGCAGCCTTCCCCTCACCCAGGGCATGTGGCTTTGGGGCTGACATATATGAGCCCATTCACATGCTTTGCACGATTTACTGGCTTTATTCCCACAAAGACCATTTTCCTCATCAGGCCTATGAACAGATGAGGACCCTGAGGCACAGAGAGTCTAAAGGACCTGCCCAGGGTCACACGGCTGGGAAAAGGCGGCACAGCTCCTGAGTGTGGGCTCTGCTCTGTGCTTTTGTGCCCTGGGAGCAGATTTTGAGAAGCACTATGGGCTCCAGCTCAAGGGGGAGAGGGTGAGTGTCAGCAGGCAGTGGCCAGAGTGAACCCTGGGAGCTTGGGCTGGGCCAGCTCTTCGCAGACAGGCTGGGAGAACCAGGCAAGTCATTCCCCATTCAGGGCCCCCGTGGTTCCCGTCGGCTGAGGCTGATGATGTGCCAGACCCTATCTCTGAGCATCCTTTGCCCTGACACTAAGGGGCACGTGTATCCCAGACTCTGTCTCTGTCACTTACTATAGGCCGCTCTTTGCCTTCTCTGTGCCGTGGTTCCTTTGTCTGGGAAGAGAGAATAAAGAAAACCACCCCTAGAGGTTGTTGACTATTAACGCCTCATGCAGGAATGGACAGAGCAGGGCTTCTGGGTAGCGAGTGCAGAGCTGAGTCTGGGGGGCCTGGGTCGGTGTCTGCGTCTGCTGAGCCCTGAAACTCTCTGAGGGCGCCAGTCACCATGGACATACAGGCAGTCCATGTTCATGTCTGCTGGGATTGTTTTCTGACAGGTGACCAAACTTGGGGCTCTCCTCTGAAGTCACTCAAAGGGGCTAGTGCAAGCTTTGAGTCCAGGCCCCTAATTTAACAGACATGGCTGAGGCCCTGGCAGGGAAAGGGCCTGGTGGGGTTCATAAGCACCTGCTGACCCTTCCTCTCCCCCCTGCAGTTCTGGGAGGTCATCAGTGACGAGCACGGGATAGACCCCAGCGGCAACTATGTGGGGGACTCGGACCTCCAGCTGGAGCGCATCAGCGTCTACTACAACGAGGCCTCTTGTGAGCCGTCCCCCCACCCCCGTCCGTGCGCTTGGTCTGGGAGGGTGGGGGGAGGGCGCTGGGACTGCGGGTCTCAGCATCTCTGCCCTCCTATCGGTGGTTCGGCAGGTATGACCCGAGACTCACAAAACAAACATGGGGAGCCCTAGAAACTGCCACCATAGTGAGGTTCAAATATCTGGGATCCTCCCTTGACACTTGCATATTCTAGGGGACAGACAGGGCTGGGCAGGGTCCTGGAGGCTCCTCAGAAGTCCATGGGAGGGTCCAGCAGGGGCCACCTGGCTGCTGGCGTAAGATGATGTCCATAGTGAACTGGAGAAATATTAACCTGCCCCTGTCAGTGTAGTTCGCAGTCCTGGATAGCTGGGTGTTGACCGAGATCCCAACTTCACACATGGTTCCAGCCTCTCTGACCCTGGAGTCTGAGCACCTATGGTGACAGCCTGACTCTGGCAGGCCAGGGCAGGATTTAGAGGTCAGGAGGAGCCCCTGACCCTCTGTGACCCACATAACCCACCCCTTTCTCCTCAGCTCATAAGTATGTGCCTCGGGCCATTCTGGTGGACCTTGAGCCCGGAACCATGGACAGCGTCCGGTCTGGTGCCTTTGGACACCTTTTCAGGCCTGACAACTTCATCTTCGGTAAGTTTCCCTTGTCTCACACTCTGATGCAGACCAATAAGGCATCACAGGCAAATAAGATCAGCAGAAACAACAGGGCAGAGTCACCCCTGAGCAGGACAGAACTGACCTTCCCATTTTGCATTTGGCAGCAGTGGCACAGAGAAAGGGCTCTGTGTGGGGAATAGAAACCATTTGGTGTTTCAAGCAGAATGGTGGGTGAGACAGAGAGCTAAGTTTATAGGACCATCACAGAGCTGGCAGACGGGCATCGGGGTCCAGAGGACTCAAGTTCACAGGCATGAAGCATTGCTGTGATCAGGAGGGCCTCACCCCAGTTCTGTCCTCTGAAGCTTGGCACCCCAATTGATGGGCACCAATCCACATTAGACCCCACACTGCAAGGGATTCTGGGGTTTTGGGGGCTCTAGCTGATGCTTCCAGCATGGCCAACCAGAGGCTGGAGGGGAGGACTGAACGACTCACCCAGAACCTCCCCCCAAGGGAGGCAAAGCAGGACATGCCCCTCCAGCTTCTCAATTCTTGTCTAGAGCCCTGGTACCTTAGGGCACCAGGCAGTGGGGTCCCCAACACACATCATGGTGGGCATGGAGGGCCATGGAGGGAGTGAGGCGATGCGGGCACCCCCACTCTCCAGACAGGAAGCAGACACAGAGATTCCATGGTTGCTCTCTGGGATGGGCTGCTCAGTTGGCCGCTGTAGGTCTGACTAGTCTGTGTCACCCTCCTGCCACCCCCCGACCCCCGCAGGTCAGAGTGGAGCCGGCAACAACTGGGCCAAGGGCCACTACACGGAAGGCGCTGAGCTGGTGGACTCCGTCCTGGACGTGGTGCGGAAGGAGTGTGAGAATTGCGACTGCCTGCAGGGCTTCCAGCTGACCCACTCGCTGGGCGGGGGTACAGGCTCCGGCATGGGCACGCTGCTCATCAGCAAGGTGCGGGAGGAGTACCCGGACCGCATCATGAACACCTTCAGCGTGGTGCCTTCGCCCAAGGTGTCGGACACGGTGGTGGAGCCCTACAACGCCACCCTGTCCATCCACCAGCTGGTGGAGAACACGGACGAGACCTACTGCATCGACAACGAGGCCCTGTACGACATCTGCTTCCGCACCCTCAAGCTGGCCACGCCCACCTACGGCGACCTCAACCACCTGGTGTCGGCCACCATGAGCGGCGTCACCACCTCCCTCCGCTTCCCGGGCCAGCTCAACGCCGACCTGCGCAAGCTGGCCGTGAACATGGTGCCCTTCCCCCGCCTGCACTTCTTCATGCCTGGCTTCGCGCCGCTCACTGCCCGCGGCAGCCAGCAGTACCGCGCGCTCACGGTGCCCGAGCTCACGCAGCAGATGTTCGACGCCAAGAACATGATGGCCGCCTGCGACCCGCGCCACGGCCGCTACCTGACCGTGGCCACCGTCTTCCGTGGCCGCATGTCCATGAAGGAGGTGGACGAGCAGATGCTGGCCATCCAGAGCAAGAACAGCAGCTACTTCGTGGAGTGGATCCCCAACAACGTGAAGGTGGCCGTGTGCGACATCCCGCCCCGGGGGCTCAAGATGTCCTCCACCTTCATCGGCAACAGCACGGCCATCCAGGAGCTGTTCAAGCGCATCTCGGAGCAGTTCACCGCCATGTTCCGGCGCAAGGCCTTCCTGCACTGGTACACGGGCGAGGGCATGGACGAGATGGAGTTCACCGAGGCCGAGAGCAACATGAACGACCTGGTGTCCGAGTACCAGCAGTACCAGGACGCCACGGCCGAGGAGGAGGGCGAGATGTACGAAGACGACGAGGAGGAGTCTGAGGCTCAGGGCCCCAAATGAGGCGGCTAGAGGGCCGGAGCCAGGCTGCGGCTGTGGCCCCAGAGGCCTGACCCCAGAGCCATGTCGCCATTAACACCACCCCAGCCTCGCCCCCGCCAGCTCCGGCCGCGGCACCCTAGGGTTCCCAGTATTTACTGCATTCCCCACCCCACGTGAGTCCCCTCTTCTCATCATAGGTCAGGTCCACTTCTGTGTCTGCTTTACTGTCAGCTCCAGGCCTATTTTATGGTTCGTTTGGTTTTCTTTTCTTTCTTTTTTACTGGTTTGTGTTTTTATTTTGGGGCGGGGGGATACTTAATAAATTTATTGCTGTCAGATATCCCTGCCTGGTGCTGGAGATTTCTTTTCATTCTAGAAAGTTGGGTCCTGAGGTGGGAGGAGGGGCTGACAGGGAGGCCCAGGGCAGGGAAGGGCCGTTGTCTCCCCAGGCCGCTGGCTGGGGCTGGCCTGTGCGGAGAGCCTGTAGGTTCTGAAGGCTCAGCAGCTGGCAGCTTCCGGAGGCAGAGTCCTGGAGATGGGCCACGCTCCCTCGTCTCCGACGGGGAGGCCCACGCTCCAGAGCTTTCTTCTGGAGGGCCGCCAGACACCCGAACCAGAGGTGGGAAGGGAGGACGTTGAACACTCCACAGAAAAGTGTGGTATGTTGGAGAGTTCAGTCTTGGGCCCTTGGAAAGGGTTTGGTGGGGGTCAGTGAGCTGTGGCCACTGCACCCAGGCCTCACCCCAACTCCCACTGTCCTGGCAGGGAGCCCTGTGCTGGCCTCATGCGCCCCCTGGTGGCAATCCTGTGTCCGAGGGCACGGGCGCCTGGAAGGGGCCCACCACAGAGCCCAGCTCTGGCTCCATTTGCCTTCCCACACCCAGTCCCTGGAAGCCAGGGGTTTCCTCCAGCCTAGCTCCACCTGGGACGTCAAAGCGGCTTCAGTACCGGTGGCACACTGGTGCCTGGCCTGTCTTTGCAGAAGAAGGAAAGCCAAGGAGACCACTGGCCCTGAGGCAGGCTAGGAAACTGAAGCCCCCAACGGGGTGCAAGTCTTGGGCTCTCTTCCTGACACAGGCTGGGCCTCTGGGGTCCCCGAGTAGTGGAGAAGCACATTCTAAAGGCCGACGCTCTGGGGGCCTGCTGTGTGCCTGGCCACACTTGCTCGCTACCCCCAGAACAGTGTCCCCCCACCCTACACATGCACTGGCCAGGCCACAGTGTCTGTGACTGACATGGCCATATGGGGAGTAGGGATCTGTGCGCTGCTCTGGGCCACAGCAGCTGGGTCCTCACTGCCTAGGAAGCAGCAGAAGTGCCTGCTGCTTCCTAGGCAGTGAAGGCCCCCCAAGGCCTCGCTAGGCTGCTGTCCTCCACACGGTGGCGGGCAGGGGTGTCCACCGCCCAGGCGCTCAAGGCTTCCGGGCCCCAGAAGAGTTGAGACACCTGCTCAGTGTTGACAAAATTCCGTCTGGCCCATGACACTCACAGATGTTGCTCCTGGGCTCCAGGTCCTCTGTCTTCCGGGCCTTCTTCTGAGAGCTCAACACACGCACTTCGCTTAACCCTCATGATGATGCTATGAGGTGCATGTCTTTCAGGCTGAGAAATGGAGGCTCAGAAAAGGGAGGGTGTTTGTCAGCTGGCAAGTGGCACAGCCAAGTGTCCAGCCCTATCCATGGGGCCAGAAATGGCCAAGAAACGTACTTCCCTCCTGACCACTGACCCCCCACCACAACTCAGATGAGCCTGGCCTCCCTGGGCCACCCTGCCTTTGTGGAGTTGGTTTTCAGGCCAGTCCACTCACTTCTCCCAAGGCCCACAGCCCAACTTAATACAAATGTGTGGTATGCATTTTGGTGGGGACTGTGTTGGTGGGGATGTGAGGAGGTAAAGGGGTGGGAGCCCAGCATTTCCAGACCCCAGCCCATCCCTGCTGGCCCCCAGAGTTCATCTCAGCTGCCCCCAGCCCATCCCTGCTGCCCCCCAGAGTTCTTCTGTAGCAGGGGTTTCAAGCTTTCTTTCCCAGCCTACCCCCTCTCTGCCCCTGGTTTTCCCTCATGAACCTCCAGCTGTACTTTCTTTTTCTTTTTTAAAGTTTTTATCTATTTATTTGACAGACAGTGAGAGAGAGCGCATGATCAAGGGGAGGGGCAGGAGAGGGGGAAGAGCAGGGAGCCCCACACAGGACTCCAGGATCATGACCTGAGCGGATGGCAGTCCCTTGATTGACTGAGCCACCCAGCTCCACCCCCGCCCCAGCTGTACCTTCTTCTGAGGAGGAACTTAGATCTTTGCTGTTTTCCACCAGTCAGTTGTCATTCCCTCCATCTCGGACATTGGACATCAGAGGGGCTGACCCAAATCAGCCCTGTGCATTACAAGGGTTCCTGACCCACAATAGCCCTAAGCTTAATGAAATGGCAGCTGCTTTATGCCATTGAATTTCGGAGTGGTTTTTTGTTACGCAGCAGCTAAAAATAGAAACACATGTGGGGAGTGGCTAGAACAGCATGTGGCCCATAGTAAAGGCCATGAACGTCTGCTCTTAAATGGATCCATTCATGTTAGCCAAAGAAGTTTGTCTGCAGAGATGCAGGGCAGGAGGGGGTGGGAGAGGCCAGCTCGGTGGCTGCTCAGGCTTGCTTGAACCTTCTAACAGGGCTCTGCTCAGCCCAGCACCATCCAGCGTGGGCTGCACGTCCGGCTGGCAGTCAGGACAGTGGCTTCACTGGCTGGTTCACCCCCAGCTCCACCTGTCCACTTCAGTCTAGGTGAAGGGCCGGGGGCGTCCAGACCTGGGCACACTCCCAGCCTTCTTCAGCCCTGCCTGACCCTCTGCCTGGTCCCCTGCAGGCAGTGCTCAGGGTTTAGGAGACGACTTCATGCCCGGGTAGGGCTGCCAGAGCAAATACACGGTGCCCAGGTAAATAGGAAGTTCGGAGAAACAACAAATGACATTCCACTTGGGGGCATGATTATAGTAAGCGATTATGCCTCCATTGCTAGATCCAGTAACCCTAGCCTAGGGACCCCAGCAAGCCTGAAGCTGGGCCTTTTCTGGGAGACCACGCCAGGTGGTCTCGAGCTCTTCACACCCTTGCTTGCTCCTTATATGGCCCTAGGAAGCAGGCACTTACAGATGAAGAAACTGAGGCAGGAGGCAAGTGAAACTGCCCCCAGGTTGTCCAGCTGCCAGTGGCAGGGCTACAGTTTGAATGGAAGAGGTAGGGGGCTGAATTGTCACCCTTCCTCCACCCCTTGGGGTTTTGAGTTTGAGCCCCCGCCAGGGGTAGAGGTTACTAAAACAAACAAACTTTTTAAAAAGATGCTCAATGTTACTAATCACCAGGGAAACGCAAATCAAAATCACAATGAAATGCCATTTCACACCTGTTAGGATGGCTGTTGCCAGAAAAACAAAAGACAAGTGTTGGTAATGATGTTGAGAGACTGGAACCTTTGACCTTTGTCTATGGGAATGCAAAATGTGCAGCTACTATGAGAACAGTATGGAGGTTACTCAAAAGCTTAAAACTAGAGCTATTATATGATCCAACAATCCCCCTTCTGGGTATTTATCTAAAATAATTGACATCAGGGATGCCTGGGGGGCTCTGCCTTTGGCTCAGGTCATGATGCCGGCATCCTGGAATCGAATCCCTGGTCAGGCTCCCTGCTCAGTGGGGAGTCTGCTTCTCCCTCTCCCTCTGCCTGCCGCTCCCCTGCTTGTGCTCAGGATTTCAAAGAGATATTAACACTCCCATGTTCTTTGCAGCACTATTTACAATAGCCGAGTTTTGGAAACAAACCAAATGCGTGTTGACGATGAATGGATAAAGGCTCATTGGTATATACAGTGGGATGTTCTCAGCCTTACGACAGAAGGAAATCCCACACACATGGATGAACCTTAAGGACATGATGCTAGTGAAATAAGCCAGACTCAGAAAGACAAACGTTGCATGATTCCATTCATGTGAATTATCCAAAACAGTCAGACTCCTAGAAGCAAAGAGCAGGATGGTGGTTTCTAGGGACAGGGGGCAGGGAGGAACTGCTAATCAACTAGTACCATTTCAATTATGCAGGATGAATAAGTTCTAGAGATCTACCATACAAAACTGTGCCTATAGTTAGCAATACTATATGGTATACTTAAAAATCTTTTAAGAGTGTAGATCTCATGATAAATGTGTCCTTACCACAATAAAATAAAGTTTTTATTATTTTTTTATTTTTTTTTAAAGATTTTATTTATTTGATTTATTTGACAGAGAGAGAGAGATCACAAGTAGACAGAGAGGCAGGCAGAGAGAGAGGAGGAAGCAGGCTCCCTACAGAGCAGAGAGCCAGATGCGGGGCTTGACCCCAGGACCCCGGGATCATGACCTGAGCCAAAGGCAGAGGTTTAACCCACTGAGCCACCCAGGTGCCCCTAAAATAAAGTTTTTAAAGATTTTATTTATTTATTTGAGAGAGAGCACAAGGAGAGGGGAGAGGGAGAAGCAGGCTCCCTGATGAGCAGGGAGCCCGACATGGGGCTTGATCCCGGAACCCTGGGATCATGACCTGAGCCAAAGGCAGATGCTTAACCCACTAAACCACCCAGGTGCCCCAATAAAATAAAATTTAAAATAAAAAAAAATAATGCCACTACTCTTCAAAATCCTCCAGTAGAGAGATTGACTGATGGCATCAAATGTCTGTGAGGACATGGAGGGACCAAAATGTTCATGCCAGTGGGAATGTGAGACAGCACAATGACCATGGGAGAAAGCTTTCCAGATCCCTAGGAAGTTAAACACACTCTTACCATATAATCCAGCTGTTCCACTCCTAAGTATTTACCAAGGAGAAATTAAAGTGTATTTCTACACAGAATTATACACAAATGTTTATAGCAGCTCTCTTTGTAATAGCAAACACTGAAAACAGCAGTGATGTTCGTCAGCATGTGAGTGGATAAACCAACTGTGGTCTATCCACACCATGGAATCCTACTTGGCAATGAGAATAAGCTGACATCTGACACCTGCTACAAAAGGAGTCTCAGAATATTACTCTGAATAAAAGAAGCCAAACTAAAGAAGAGTATATACGATAAGATCCCATCTTTAGAAAATTCTGGAATGCAGTACAACG